CCACACCTCCCAATCAGGGCACCAGTGGGAGGAGTTAAAAGGGGCAGACCAGTAATGTAATTGCGTCACTGGCTTTGCCCAAAAGGAAAAGTGGTGTGTCCGCCCACATTACTGGCATGTTGGCCTGGTGTGAATACACTCCAGGCAAACTGCCAATCATGCAAGACCAGCCCATTCAGGGGCGATCCTTGAGGGAACATTGCTTCAGCGCTCTGTGCTGGGTCCTAGTACCCTGAATATAGCACAAACTCGACCCTTGATACTGTGATTGTTGGGGACAGCGCCCTGGTGTGCCTAAAAGTGGACGGTGGGACATGACCGAAATATTGAGACTGTACCAACAGGAGTATTGGGAGGCACAGTATGCTTCCATTTTATCTTTTTTGTTTATTTGTTTTTTTGGAGCCCTGCAATGCAGTCATGGGGGTCTGTCTGTATGACTAACTTCTAACTTTGTATTTCTTTGTGCAGCTGCTTACCTCATGAAATAATTCTTGGGAATGTTTAATCTCATTGTGACATTCATTTTATAAAAAGATTTTTCAACATGTTTTGTGATTGGTGTATTTGAGTTCGAACTGGTTTGCAAATGCTACATTTTACCTGTGCAATAACAATCACAAACTAGTAATTCTATACATTTCCTACATTTAAAAGAAAATCTATCCTTATACTGAGAGTGGGGTTAGCCTGATACAATAGAAAGGAGAGAATGTCATATTAAACATTTACAGCAGGCATTTGAACAAGGGCTCACCTGAATATTCTGAAGTCTGAAACCCGTTTTAGAAGTATTAAAAGCAGTCGTGGAGAATTTAAAAAATCAACCTTTGAAGCTATTAATTCCATGCTAATGAGGGAGAATTTATTTAAAAAGTTGAAGATATAAACATTGCAGGTTTATAACACACAGTAAATCGCCGACAATGGTCAATTTGTCTGTTACATTAAAGGTCCTCACTTACTCTAACCAATCTCAGTACTATATTTCACTAAAGTGAAAAAATTATTGTTTTGTGGTTTCTAAAGAGGATGTAAGAAATCCTTACTGTGTTACTGGGATATATTGTGAAGCTAGCAAAAAGGTTCCAGCCAGGGAACGAATACAGCGGATTGACGGGAACGAATACAGCGTACTGAGGGGAATGTATACAGCGGATTGAGGGAATGTATACAGCGGATTAAGGGAATGTATACAGCGGATTAAGGGAATGTATACAGCGGACTGAGGGAATGTATACAGCCGATTGAGGGAATGTATACAGCGGATTGAGGGAATGTATACAGCGGATTAAGGGAATGTATACAGGGGATTGAGGGAATGTATACAGCGGACTGAGGGAATGTATACAGGGGATTGAGGGAATGTATACAGCGGATTAAGGGAATGTATACAGGGGATTGAGGGAATGTATACAGCGGACTGAGGGAATGTATACAGCGGACTGAGGGGAATGTATACAGCGGATTAAGGGAATGTATACAGCGGATTGAGGGGAATGTTTACAGCGGACTGAGGGGAATGTATACAGCGGATTAAGGGAATGTATACAGCGGATTGAGGGGAATGTTTACAGCGGACTGAGGGAATGTATACAGCGGATTAAGGGAATGTATACAGCGGATTGAGGGGAATGTATACAGCGGACTGAGGGGAATGTATACAGCGGATTAAGGGAATGTATACAGGGGATTGAGGGAAATGTATACAGCAGACTGAGGGAATGTATACAGCGGATTAAGGGAATGTATACAGGGGATTGAGGGAATGTATACAGCGGATTAAGGGAATGTATACAGGGGATTGAGGGAATGTATACAGTGGACTGAGGGGAATGTATACAGCGGATTGAGGGGAATGTATACAGCGGATTGAGGGAATGTATACAGCGGAATGAGGGGAATGTTTACAGCGGATTAAGGGAATGTATACAGCGGACTGAGGGGAATGTATACAGCGGATTGAGGGGAATGTATACAGCGGACGGAGGGGAATGTATACAGCGGATGGAGGGAATGTATACAGCGGATGGAGGGAATGTATACAGCGGACTGAGGGGAATGTATACAGCGGATGGAGGGAATGTATACAGGGGATTGAGGGAATGTATACAGCGGATTAAGGGAATGTATACAGGGGATTGAGGGAATGTATACAGCGGATTAAGGGAATGTATACAGGGGATTGAGGGAATGTATACAGTGGACTGAGGGGAATGTATACAGCGGATTGAGGGGAATGTATACAGCGGATTGAGGGAATGTATACAGCGGAATGAGGGGAATGTTTACAGCGGATTAAGGGAATGTATACAGCGGACTGAGGGGAATGTATACAGCGGATTGAGGGGAATGTATACAGCGGACGGAGGGGAATGTATACAGCGGATGGAGGGAATGTATACAGCGGACTGAGGGGAATGTATACAGCGGATTGAGGGGAATGTATACAGCGGATTGAGGGGAATGTTTACAGCGGATGGAGGAAATGTATACAGCGGACGGAGGGGAATGTATACAGCGGATGGAGGGAATGTATACAGCGGATGGAGGGAATGTATACAGCGGACTGAGGGGAATGTATACAGCGGACTGAGGGGAATGTATACAGCGGATTGAGGGGAATGTATACAGCGGATTGAGGGGAATGTATACAGCGGACGGAGGGGAATGTTTACAGCGGACTGAGGGGAATGTATACAATATTACCTGAAAAAATATTTCATACTGCATAGCATGTGGATATGGCTTAGGAATATTATTGATTATTGTACAGATGGGAAAGGTTGATCTAGAGAGTAGGAGAGACTCCATCAGGTTCCCCACTTCCTTAACGGCCACTTGAAATGTAAGCTTGATGGAGCTGTAAGATGGCCTTGGTAGGACGCTAACAATTGCAGATAATTATATTGATTATGCGATGCACCTTCCTCAAGGAATCCGAAAACTGGATCATTTTATTACTGTATAATATAAATAGTTTGGAGGCACATTGCTACCTCGGCACTTCATGGTCCTGAAATTAGAATTTAAGAAGGACACTGTCTATCTGAACCCTACTTTCATTTATCAAGGTAAATAATAGAGAAGGTGACAGTGTGTTCAATCTCCAGGTCAGTTTCATTAAATATAGGGATCCCCTTATTTATTTAGAGCTTATCCATGTCAGGGAGGTATGTGGTAACATTGATGTCATCAACATGTTTCATGGCTCCTGTACTGTTTGTGTAGGTGCGTGTTTGAACAGGGTTGGACTGTGTCATCCTTTCACTAGGTGACCCAAGCCCATAGTAATAATTATCATAGGCCACGTCCCTCTATAGAGATCTGACTGAATAAGTTCCTTTTCAGTCAATTTTGAACGCGTATCCAATATCAGTTTGATTTAACTTGGCAGGCTCTATATTATCTGCATCCATCCGTGTGCCCTACTTTGCAGGTTTGCCGGTTACTAAATGGCAGCTATGCTCTCCTGTCACTTTTATCCCCTGTTTCACATAATTCTGATTCCCCCCATGTCTTGATGGACTCTTTCCCTTTATTTCTTTAGCCCATTGGTGCAGAATGCTACAAACATTGAATCACATGAATAGATTTCCTGTTTTCAAGTCAGGTAGGAGTTAAGAAATCAGGTAATGTATTTGGCTCACAAACACACATTTTGTGGGATTTCCCCATAATTAGACTCTTCTGAGAAAGGTGACTCAGATCTTGGAGTATGTTGGATTAGGTTTTAGATGAGGAGTTGATGCATCACCTGATACATTACACACAACACCATTTCTTTATGGTAAACAAACCCACACAAACAATAATGAGCGATATATAATAAGTGTGGGAGCATTTAATATGAAAGAGGTGAATTAAGGTTGAATAGATATTTAGCGCAAATTCAAGGTTTAGTTTACATTTTGATCTAAACTTGTACAATTGCCACAGTCTTTAAGGGGTTAAAGAAACAATTTATAAACCGGTTTATGAACCACAAGAGCTTTTTCTCTTAATCACGTTGTTATCACACTATATACAGTTTTCTATTTGGAAGTATATATGTTTTCTTTTTTTTTTCTTTTTTAAGAATAATAAAAGTATATTGTGTTTTATTAAAAAAAAAAAAAAGTGGCTTTAATATAAAGAGTAATCTACTGAGAGGTACCTATTCTCAGGTTCCTCGCTTATCTGTTCTATATCCTATCGTCTGCTTCCGTCTCTGACATAATGTGTATTTTAATATGTGCTGGGAGCTATGTTTTCACAGTGGCAATAATGAAATATGTTCCTTTTAAAATTATTTTTAAATGTCACTCTACCATTCTCTTTTCTATTTTTGGATTATTTACTCTATAGCAAATCCAGGCATTGACTTTATTGTGGTTTTTGATGATGCATAGGTGCTGGGGGGCTTTGGAGGCTAAAGCCTCAGACGTAGGGAGGACGGGTTGTTGTGGAAGAAAACGTTGTTATCCTCTATCACTTAAAACGGCTCTGTCACCCTTGGACCTCTTTGAAACATCCCAAATTACTTAATTGCTAATGCCTCCCTCATATAAATATGGGATCTTACTGACCCCCTCATAGGCTTTTTATTTATTTATTATTTAACTTTTATAAACTGGTAGCTGGCTACTGAGCCCTGGCCAGCTGCCACTTGGCAAATAGTCTGGACTTTTTTCAAATCCACTCCCGGATCGAATGCATCTCGGCCTGAAAATGAATCATTCAGTCTGTATTTCAGCCGTCGAGGGGTGTTTGATCTGACAGAAATATGGACCAAATTCTGACCCATCTGGACAGTGTTAACCATGACGGGATTCTGCAATCCAAATGGCCCTGTATGCAGCCGCATGGTTTTACTACATTCGGTTCTGGCTATTGGGCCTCTGGTAAATAACCCCAAAATAATGAAAAGTAGACACAAAAATCTTAAATACATCAAAAGCAACAAGTATTTAAGTCTGGTTATCACCAAAGTGTATATTGCCAGAAATTCAAGGGCATTTCTCATTTTTAGAGTAAATAGCCAAATTCAAAATATATCTGACTTGGAGAAATTTTCCAATTTGTCTCTTTTGGCCTAAAATTTTAATTTTTAAAACAAAAACACATTCCTGACAATTCAATCTGTAATGAATTACCGTGTTAGGAAGGACTGAATTATTAACCAGTGAGAGCTTAATGCTCCATGTTAGAGAAAGGATTAAAGCAGCATACACAGTGGCAGACAGAACACTCTGCTACTGCAGATTGTTATTAAAAATGTTTATCACACTATTAAAAGTTGTAATATCTATATATCCTTTGTCCACAGAGGACACAAGTTAGTCAGGGTTTGAAGCCGATCTGTCACTATATTATAAAGATAACATTTTATGATAAAGTTATAAAGACTGCGTTGGAATTTCACTAAATTTCTGACACAATCCAATGATACCATGAGACAAAGTAGGGACTTCTTTGTCTTATAGTAAAAACTGAGGTTGACAAAACTTGATAAAAGGAGGAGGTCATCTGTCAACTTTTGTCCAAACGCAGCAGTTGTCACAAAATCCAGCTGTGGGATTCAGGCTTTCTCTATTGGGGATCCCACAGTCCCAAACTGCCCGTTTTCGCCTATTTCGCAAAGACATTTTGACAGATCTGCTTTAATGGATTGTTTACTCTACAGACAATGATAATTATAACAGCATTGAATAATTCCAAATAAATAATCCTCCTCTACTGATTGCGAACTAAGTAGCAATTTAGTCCTAGGTGGAGATGAATGGCTAGTTCACTTACCAATGGCTTAAAAGTATATTTTTTAATCATGGTTTAGTAGATATACCCCCAATGGGACACCATGTGTTTATTTATGAATTTTGCATTGGTGGTATATGTTTCAACAGCTTACAAAAGCAAAAAGCTCTTTTGTCTGCAACCTTTGCAAGCCCTACCCATCCTCCCAGACTTATCGATGCAGCTCAATTAGAAGTCTGTGCAAGGCAGGTGCTCTGAGCAATTGCCACCTCTTGAGTTTAGCTCCACTGAGCTCACCAAACCAGGAAGTAACAGGACCGGTTGTCTGAGTAATTAATTTATAAAAGTGCAAATTTCTATAGAAATTTTCACATTTTCTAAAACGAACAAAAGGACACATTGCACACATAGGGTACGTTAGCAAGTTAAATTGTTTTAGGGTTTCAGAGTGTTCCTTTAAAATAAGGCCAGATCCACCGTGTTTCAGACAGCAGTTAGTTCCCTCACAGAGAAATCGAGAGCATTTAACAGTTTATTACATTGATTATTAACATCATGTAAATCAAAACAGAAAATTAATATTATTTACACACAACCTTTCATTGGGTTTATATTCTCTGTTCTTCATGGCAAATACCTTCTTGCTAATTACGAGGAGCTCATATATACACATATATTATTTTAGATCTGCCGTCAGATTGGATGGTTCAACCGGTCCTGGTTTTGGTTCCAGACAGGAATACAATGAAGAACCATACAAGGGAGAAACACCAGGTGTCTGAGTGACAGGTTAACGCACAATCTGATAACAGTCAGATAAAGACACCATTGGTATGTAAGATCTACTTGACATTACACACAGCAGAGAACCCTTACTCTGCTTACTGACCAGCAATATTCCCAATATTCGTCAATGGAAGAATGACTATTCAGCCAGCGGAGTAAAACCTTCACTTTGATAAGATAATCCAGCCCAAAGTCTCAGGCAGACAGTAACAGACTAGGATAAGTCAATGAGGACATATTAGTTGGAGAGAGATGATGTGATATCACCGTAGTCAATGAGTGCATCCTATGTTCAGTCCCCGAGATCAGAGCCAGTGAATGTAGTTTATATTATTTTGTATGGAGTGAGAGGAATATATTCCTCTGACTGAGAACACATACAATATACTGAAGACCTAGACATTACTTTGCAGGACATTGCGTAACATTTTTAAAATACATGGTAAAGGGAGGGCGGTCCTTGCCTCCCATAAACAGCTTCTGATATAAACGAAACTCGAGGAGTCCAGCAAAGACATATCTCCATTTGGTCACAGGAACTGGAGTGTGCTGTAACCTGTAGAAGGAGGAGAAATTACTAAAATGTTATTTAAAAAGACATGAAGAACATCTTAAATAAGACTTCCATTTGCAGAAAAGACCAAAGCGATTTCCCCCATGTAAAATATACTTTTTCTTCCAATCAAAGGTTCTCATCTGCTAATCTGTCTGTTGCAGAACTTGACTACAACCATATTGTTTTAAAAATGTTGCCCCTCTGCAAAGGCAGGAGTGAGTTAAATGCTAAATGTCCACAGAAAAAAAAGCTACATTTAGAAATGACATGAAAGCTGTTTTATTTTTTTCATTATCATTTGAAATACATTTTGACATATATTATAGGCTCTATGGAGATAATTTTCTAACACATACATATAAATTAATACCTCTTTTCAGTGCAGTACAGTCGGTTGTAGTGGTTATGGTGCCGGGATTGCCCTCTCACCTACTACCCCCCATTGTAATAAGTCAAACCATTTTAGAATAGTTAACCTTCTTACCTGTGGACTTCCGGAAAAATAAATTGTATTCCTAGTCTCTAGTGCCCCTTTGCTCGCGAACCCCCTTCCCTCCCCTCTGCAGCACTGAAAGAGTTAAAATCCCTTTTGTCACTTACCTGTATCCAGCGCAGATATCCTTCAACGCTGGGTCAGGCTTCATCGCTTCTCCTGACATCGGGGACCTAATGCGCATGTGCGACAAGCGATGCGATCACATTATGACATCCAATAACAAAGCTTATTCAGTGCTTTCCTATGGGATTTTAGCTAATGCTGGATATCCTCATGGATGTCTGCAAACCCTGCTCTGCTTTACTAGAAATTGTTTATAAACATCCCTCTGTTATCCCTCTGTAGAAACCCTTTATCAACTCACACAAAGTACATCTCAGTTAACGCCTACCTGAGAGAAGTTTAGTCGGCTTCACTGTGTGTTTCCATTTGAACGTACCCTACAGATATAGCCAATAACATGGTGAAAATCTATAAAACGTGGTGCATATTAAAATATAATAAGACAATGTTCTAGCTTGCTTCTCCCCTGACATATAATACTGTGTCTGTTTAACTGGGTCTCTGTGGCAATTTCAGGTATGGGGACAGTATACCTAACATAACTGTTGGTGTCTAAGGCAGTATGTATGCCTGTAAGGATATCTCAGTAAGGATCGTGCTGTGTTTTTCTCAGGTGTGGAGGCTGTGTGTCCTTTCCAGGTGTGGAGGCTGTGTGTCTCGGTTACGGAGTGTGATGAACTCACTGATAAAGGACTATGATCCACTGATCTCCTACCTCCCTGTCCAGTTGCCTATCCTGTTCTCCCTTCCCTGAGAGCCAGAGTATCCAGACGCCATCAGCGAGACCAACCTACAACCGCTCTGGAACTCCGGCCCAGCCACTTGTTGCAGGATTCCCCAGTCACCTTGCACCTATATTTTCATCCCTTTCTCAGTGACTTAAAAGAGCGCTATGTGGAAGGAAGCTTCTATCCCAAGAATTGAGAAAACGCTCCCCGAAACCACCAGGGAACTCCGATTCACCACGGAGATATGACATATGACTTGTGGGGATACCATACTGTTTGTGGAATATTTTGAGGATATTTCTGAATTGTATTCCTTGTGTCTGGGAAATCATTAGTTTACCGGTTATCAACTCAATTATCTCCCAGACACAGAGACTCCAGGGCGGGCTTAAGTGTTAATGAATGGAGACCCCATGTTGGGGTCTGTGTATAAATGAATGTGCTTTTGGATGAATAAACCAGTTCTTGTACCCTTCATCAATTCTCGACTGATGTTTGGGAATGCAGGAGTTATAATCACTGTTTCACTACAGGGACTGGGAGAACCTACAGTGGAGGTACAACTCTGGGTACAGGCACTCCGTCACACGGAGGATGCCTGCTTATCTTGGGTTTGGAAACTGTGCGTTTAACTCAGATATAAAGGCTGAATTTCTATCTCAGGTATGAAAACTGTATGTCTATCTCAAATATGGAGGTTCCATGTCTTCTTCAGGTACAGAGGCTGTGCTTATATCTCGTGTGGATTCTGAGTGTCTTTCATGGGTTTGGAGGCTGTGTGTCTACCTCAGATAGAGAGGCTACGTGTTTCTCAAGTATGGAGGCTGCGAGTCTATCTCACTGATAGCAGTCTGTCTCTAAACTGTGTACATGGAGGGCTCTGCAACAATAACATAAATATATCTGTTTATATATTGTTATCATTATAGTTATAAACCTATATTGAAGTGTTAAATGGTTTGGATAGATAATACACGGTTTACTTACCACTTCTCTTTGAATATGTCCACCAGAAAAATCCTGCTAAAGCGACTATGAATCCCAAACTGAAGATTACCGAAGAAATACTTATTTTAATAATCTGGGATGAGGTCAATCCCTGTTCTAAAAATTGTGAACAAGAGATTAATACATTAGACAAAATCAATAAGAGCAACAATCAAAATGTAAAAAAAATACATAAATTCAAAGGACTGGGATTGAGGATGTGCGCCAACATCTCTCCAAATTATAAGCAATGAATTTACTACCCCATTTTATACATCCAAACCATCTACAGGAAATGCTCAGGAGGAGAGGATTGAGGCCTTATACTAAGCTAGCACAGAGCACAGAAATAGAGGCCTAACATTACGATGTTCTATATGAGGCCTAGATTCCTGTGCACTGGAACATAGGCCTCACACTAAGATAGCCTATAGAATGGGTAGACAGCCTTCAGCACTCCAGATGTTGTAGACTACTCCTCCCCTGTCACTTCGCTAGCATTTTAAGTGGAAGGGTGAGATATAGTCCACAACATCTGGAGTACTGAAGGTTGTCTACCCCTGGCTTATACTAAGATAGCATAGAACAAAAATAAATACAAGTAAAGGGCTGCGCTACATATAAAATCTAATAAAGTCCAATTAGCAGCATAAAAAAAGTCCAGTACACAAAGTATTAGAATGATACCTCTGTATCAGAGGTAGATATCAAGTGGATGTTGGAAGGTGGAGGAATTCTTGCGTCTGGAAATTGTATCCTATGGTTCTTTTTTCAAACACACTCACATTTGTTAGAGCTCAGGCAAGCTCTAGTGTATCCCCAATTAAGGATATAAACATGAGTGTTCCTCAGTTACGTAGGGTATCCAGATCTCAGAAAAAATACAGAATGGCGACAATAGTGCTCTTAATAAAATACATAAAATTTTATGCTGCTAATTGGACTTTATTAGATTTTTTAAGTTTGTGCAGCCCTTTACTTGTATTTATTTTTGTTCTTATTATCTGAAGGGTAAGGAGGGGTTCCTCCTCCTTAGGGTTGCTGCTTAACTATACTCTGAGAGCTATTAGCGCTGACCCATCTTCTTCTTTTATAAGATAGCACAGAGCACACTAAAAGAGACTCATACTAAGATAGCACACAGCACTAAAAGAGACTCATACTCAGATAGCACAGAGCACCCTAATACAGTCTTATAAAAAGATGGCACAGAGCACACTAATACAGGCTCATAATACGATATAAAACACACTAACAGAGGCTCATACTAAGATAGCACAGAGCACAATAATAGAGTCTCATACTAAGATAGCACAGAGCACACTAATAGAGGCTCATACTAAGATAGCATAGAGCACACTAATAGAGGCTCATACTAAGATAGCACAGAGCACACTAATAGAGGCTCATACTAAGATAGCACAGAGCACACTAATAGAGGCTCATACTAAGATAGCACAGAGCACACTAATAGAGGCTCATACTAAGATAGCACAGAGCACACTAATAGAGGCTCATACTAAGATAGCACAGAGCACACTAATAGAGGCTCATACTAAGATAGCATAGAGCACACTAATAGAGTCTCATACTAAGATAGCACAGAGCACACTAATAGAGGCTCATACTAAGATAGCACAGAGCACACTAATAGAGGCTCATACTAAGATAGCATAGAGCACACTAATAGAGGCTCATACTAAGATAGCACAGAGCACACTAATAGAGGCTCATACTAATATAGCATAGAGCACACTAATAGAGGCTCATACTTAGCACAGAGCACACTAATAGAGGCTCATACTAAGATAGCATAGAGCACACTAATAGAGGCTCATACTAAGATAGCACAGAGCACACTAATAGAGGCTCATACTAAGATAGCACAGAGCACACTAATAGAGGCTCATACTAAGATAGCACAGAGCACACTAATACAGGCTCATACTAAGATAGCACAGAGCACACTAATAGAGGCTCATACTAAGATAGCACAGAGCACACTAATAGAGGCTCATACTAAGATAGCACAGAGCACACTAATAGAGGCTCATACTAAGATAGCACAGAGCACACTAATAGAGGCTCATACTAAGATAGCACAGAGCACACTAATAGAGTCTCATACTAAGATAGCACAGAGCACACTAATAGAGGCTCATACTAAGATAGCACAGAGCACACTAATAGAGGCTCATACTAAGATAGCACAGAGCACACTAATAGAGGCTCATACTAAGATAGCACAGAGCACACTAATAGAGGCTCATACTAAGATAGCACAGAGCACACTAATAGAGGCTCATACTAATATAGCACAGAGCACACTAATAGAGGCTCATACTAAGATAGCACAGAGCACACTAATAGAGGCTCATACTAAGATAGCACAGAGCACACTAATACAGGCTCATACTAAGATAGCACAGAGCACACTAATAGAGGCTCATACTAAGATAACACAGAGCACACTAATAGAGGCTCATACTAAGATAGCACAGAGCACACTAATAGAGGCTCATACTAAGATAGCACAGAGCACACTAATAGAGGCTCATGCTAATATAGCACAGAGCACACTAATAGAGGCTCATACTAAGATAACACAGAGCACACTAATAGAGGCTCATACTAAGATAGCACAAAGCACACTAATAGAGGCTCATACTAAGATAGCACAGAGCACACTAATAGAGGCTCATACTAAGATAGCACAGAGCACACTAATAGAGGCTCATACTAAGATAGCACAGAGCATACTAATAGAGCTCATACTAAGATAGCACAGAGCACACTAATAGAGGCTCATACTAAGATAGCACAGAGCACACTAATAGAGGCTCATACTAAGATAGCACAGAGCACACTAATAGAGGCTCATACTAAGATAGCATAGAGCACACTAATAGAGGCTCATACTAATATAGCACAGAGCACACTAATAGAGGCTCATACTAATATAGCGTAGAGCACACTAATAGAGGCTCATACTAATATAGCACACTAATAGAGGCTCATACTAATATAGCATAGAGCACACTAATAGAGGCTCATACTAAGATAGCACAGAGCACACTAATAGAGGCTCATACTAAGATAGCACAGAGCACACTAATAGAGGCTCATACTAAGATAGCACAGAGCACACTAATAGAGGCTCATACTAAGATAGCATAGAGCACACTAATAGAGGCTCATACTAAGATAGCACAGAGCACACTAATAGAGGCTCATACTAATATAGCATAGAGCACACTAATAGAGGCTCATACTAATATAGCGTAAGAAGAGCACACTAATAGAGGCTCATATACTAATATAGCATAGAGCACACACTTAATAAGAGGCTCATACCCAATATAGCATAGAACACACTAATAGAGGCTCATACTAAAGATAGCACAGAGCACACTAATAGAGGCTCATACTAAGATAGCACAGAGCACACTAATAGAGGCTCATACTAAGATAGCACAAAGCACACTAATAGAGGCTCAAACTAAGATAGCACAGAGCACACTAATAGAGGCTCATACTAATATAGCGTAGAGCACACTAATAGAGGCTCATACTAAGATAGCGTAGAGCACACTAATAGAGGCTCATACTAAGATAGCATAGAGCACACTAATAGAGGCTCATACTAATATAGCGTAGAGCACACTAATAGAGGCTCATACTAAGATAGCACAGAGCACACTAATAGAGGCTCATACTAAGATAGCATAGAGCACACTAATAGAGGCTCATACTAAGATAGCACAGAGCACACTAATACAGGCTCATACTAAGATAGCACAGAGCACACTAATAGAGGCTCATACTAAGATAACACAGAGCACACTAATAGAGGCTCATACTAAGATAGCACAGAGCACACTAATAGAGGCTCATACTAAGATAGCACAGAGCACACTAATAGAGGCTCATACTAAGATAGCACAGAGCACACTAATAGAGGCTCATACTAAGATAGCACAGAGCACACTAATAGAGGCTCATACTAAGATAGCACACAGCACACTAATAGAGGCTCATACTAAGATAGCACAGAGCACACTAATAGAGGCTCATACTAAGATAGCACAGAGCACAGGAATGTGGCAATTTCCATTCTATTCCAAGAAATATATTGAAACTACTTCAGAATTATTCTAGTAATTGGCTTTGAGTTAACCCACTATCTCCTGTTCCAGACCTTTTTGTCAAGTAGAAATTGCCACAAAGAAATCACAGAAAACAAAAAATATTAGCGATAGAGTCAGAGAAGAAAATATCAAGGTGGGAAATATAAAAGATTTACAAAGAATGGTTTCAGGGTCTGGAGTGAAAGGTAGGCACTCCTTTAAATATATATAATTACAACTGGGGAATATTCTCATTGATATTACTGCACCATAAGATCAATTCTATAATATTGTAAAATTACCAAACTGTTAATAATTTTATAAACTAAAAGTTTTGTCCTACAGACCAGTGCGGGTATTTTACACTCACTCCAACTCATCGTCATTACTTCATCCAGGGTGGGATGCATTACAACACACGTGTATTCATCATCAGGTGTCAAATCTTTCAGATCTTGTTTGGCCACAACCTGGTAAGTCCAGTCCCCAGCTGGGATAGCATCTGTGGTGTTACTCAGCACAATTCTGTCATTTTTTACCCAACTCACACTTATATCACTGGGATAAAATCCCCAAACTTGACAAATAAGAGTGTGTGAGGCTTGGCCGCGAAATGCGTCAGGGAGAAAGACTTTCATGGACGGCTTGGCTGTTGACAAACAGAAGAAAATGGTGGGAAAAATTGGAGTCAGTGAGAAAAACAGAGATGGGCAAGGACAAATCGTAAAATGATATAAAACAATTATATAATAATAATAGAATTAATATAACTATAGATTAGACATTATTTTATAAGTATGCAAATCTTATTCTATACCTTGTTCTCATTTAAATAAAAAATAAATTAAAAAAACTACACCTGAGGAGTGTTTTGATCCTCGAGTCAATGCCTCAATAGCTGAAAGTTCTAGAGATACCTTCGATCTCATGATCTTTTCTTAAGACTAAAGGATGGCTACAGTTTTTTAGGCCTTTTATAGAGAATGATCGCAACATATAATTTTACGCAGAAAGGGCAGATAAACCACAATAAGTACTTTCTACATAGTTATGTGTAAAAACACTTACCTGTTCTCTCCACGGTGCTTTCCCAATATTCCACCACTTCCATCTTACACCTTTTTTCTTTTTCTTGCATGTTCTCCACCATGCTCGTGTTTATGTTAAGATAGTAACTGATAACAGCAGCCACTTGGTACGGCCCGCTGGGGACAAACATTTTGGAATCCTTGTCGAATATTACTATAGGCTGGCGGTTAAAGTTTACAAAATAGTTAAATGTAACATTTTCCCCTTTGGCATTACCAGGCTCGCAGAGTGTTAGCTCCTCAACCACGAACCCTGTAAAAAAAACAAATAGTATAATTAATTTCTATAATGAGTATCTTTCTTTCTTTCTTTTTTTTTTTTAATTAAATCTATATTTTTGATGTGCTTTGAAACATCAGGGATATAACACATTCACAAGATTTTAAACAGTAAATAAACTGATATCCAGCTGAGAATACATGTATGCAAACCTGCACGTTTAAAAAATAAAAATAAAAATAAGTAGAACTGAAGAAAAATAGTCAAAAATTTCATAGCCATTTTTGTAGGAGTAATAACAATACGATAAACAGTCGCAATAATATACTTGGTGACTTATCTTGGAGTAAACACAAATTCTCCATTCAAATGGTATAACAGTATGAAAGCAAAATATAGAGCGGTCTAGAACACCCAACTAATGCCTATGATAATTTTTTACAAAAAATAGTAATCTGGGAAGCTATCCTGTGCTAATATTTGATGATTGTCCACTAGGTAGTCGCTGTATGAACTACCTCAAATGGAGTGTAATGCGCAACTTAAAAATCGAAAGGTTCTGAGTGTGTTCAACAGGAGCCCAACATCAAATTGAAGTGGAGAGGTGCAAATGCAATACACCTCAGTTTTTTTTACATGTACCCACATTACTCAATTTATGCATCTATGTGGCCATTACATATTTTGAGCATGAAGGATGAAGTAGCTAGAATAGATGGTGTGGCGGGCACTCCACCGGACACCATAAGAACTGTAGACCCTTAGCCACCGCAGCTTGGCTGGGGTCTTTCATCCCTTCCCACCCTGGACCAACACCTGGATCCAGCTCCCAGTGGGAAGACCTCATCTCAGGGGGGTATAGCAGTGTAGCTCTGAAAAGAGCAAGTGATATAGCTGGTATAGCTTTCTTTCACACACGAGACAAGGTTCTATGCTGTGGATGGACTGGTTTATAGGCAGCCACATACGGCTTTTCAATGTGATTCCACATGCACGGGGTTTCCCAAATTAACAGCAGGGTAATCCCTCCCCCTGGACCTGAGAGGGAGCTAGTTACAGCAAACATTTAAATTACATTATCTCTAAGTACAGAAACATACAATATAACAAAACCCCGAAAGTACCCCTAAAACACATGAAAACCCCACAAAAGTCAAATCCCCTGATAGCCTCTATCTGGGTGACCATCACATCCAACAATCACCCAGATCGGTTCAGGGGTTCGGGATTTTCATGGAAGTCAAAAATTTGACCGACCGTGCACATGGTCCTATGCCCAAAACAGTTCCATAAATAATCATGGCTAGCAGTCGGTTTAGTTTGGTAGTTTAAAAACGAACAAACTACCGAACATAGTCAATAGTCTTACTCTGTAACTTGTTCACCTTGTTCGTGGCAAAGTTTCCACAGAACAGTGCCCTTCTAAGTGTTGTAGAACCGAACGCAGGCAATGCTGGAAGTCCAGCGGTGTTCGGTAGTTTCTGTGTCCGATTTCAGTTCCATGAGATTCATTCCCAAACACCGCTGAATGTGTTCACGGCAACAAGATGGCCGCCACCTTGTGGTCATTCATGTGAACAGCGGCCACCCAGACGAACACTTAGAACACTGTGGTGGAAATTGGTACAAACTGTCAATTAGGCTTAACCACAGGTAGGAACCAAAAACCCCGTAGTATCCCCTAACCCTGTCCCTTTCTGGGGCACCCCCCAAGATTTTGGCCAAGCCCAGCAGACAGACCCCACGTTAGCTGGTTACAGAAAGGCAGTAGGTACTCCTAAGGAAGGTAATGCCCAAGAGAGCTTCCACTGGGACAAGGGACTCCTATACATGGTCACAGGTTATAAAAAGGCAGCTAGTCGTACCCCGCAAATACAGAGCGGAGCTTCTAAAGCTCAGTCATGATATCCCGCTAGCCAGACATCTGGGTAACAAGAAAACTAAGGACCACCTTACCCAGAAGTTCTTCTGGCCAGGGATATCAAAAGATTTGCAAACATACTGCAGGACATGTGACACATGTCAACGGATAGGGAAGAGGGGGGACCACCCTAAGGCAGAGTTACGCTCCCTACCTATAATAGAAGAGCCATTCTACAGAGTGGCAATAGACCTGATAGGGCCCCTCAACAAACCCAGCTCCTCCGGAAAACGCTACATCCTTATGGTGGTGGACTAGGCCACCAGGTACACTGACGCTGTGGCGCTCTCCAACATTGAGGCGGAGACGGTAGCAGAGGCTCTAATCAGGATCTTTTCCCGAGTAGGATTCCCCCGGGAAATACTATCAGATCAGGGAACGCAGTTCACGGCAACTGTAACTCAATAGTTGTGGTAGAGCTGCGGCGTGAAACCGTTATTTAGAGGCTTGATTAACCCTCAGTGAAACATAGCAGTTTCTCCGAAATTGCTATGTTTTCAGCTGCAGGGTTAAAACTAGATGGACCCTGCGACCAGGTACCCAACGCCATGTGTTGCGGCCCCAGCCCGTACAGAGTAAGCACATGGGGGGGGGGGGGCACGGATCAGTCTTCATACCGGGGCCCCATGGGTTGTGTGTACGCCACTGACTTATGACTTCCATATTTTTTGAGAACCCCTGAGCCGATCTGGGTGAAATTTTAATAATTTGTGGGGATACCTTGTGTGTAAAGGGGTGTTCTAATTTTGGGGGAAATTGTGTGCAATCTGCCTGGAGATAATTGGGTTATTCCTTAACTTATCATTCTCAATATCTCCCAGGCAGAGAGAGGGCGGGTGTTACTGTAAATCTGTATGTTGATTGGTTATTGTCTTTGTTTACTGTGGGAGGTCCTCTTGCAGGAGGATTCTCATAAAAGCCAGTGTGGCATCAATAAAAATGATTCCTGTTACACCCTTCATGAAGTCTAGGCTCATGCTTGGGGAATTTTCTACTTGCTGGGGAGAATCGTCTTGGAAGCTGCATTCATCTACACTATTCCTCTACCTCCTAACTGCAGTTATAATCACTTATGCTAAACTATTGGGAAAGGAATATAAGACCGCAGTACCATAACCACTGTACGTCTTAACAATACTCTTGATCTTACTTAAAGGACAACTGTCATCAGATGTTCAGATTGTAATGTTTATTACATTTAATGAAACATAATAATTTTAAAAAAAAATTATGTACATTGACTTTTTTTTAATCTTTTTTATCTGGCCGAGCAGCCATGTTGGATCAGACTCTTGTGTTGTCTGACTCACTGCAGCTCAACCTAACTTGCTAATGGCTCTGTATGCACTAGCAGCAGGTTGAGCAGCAGTCAGATAACAGTAGACTCTGATCCAATATGGCTGCTCAGTCAGACAAGAAAAAAAAAGTTTCTTAAAAACGTTTAAAAAATGAGAAGTGAAAACTTGAAACCTCCAGGGATGAGTTGTGCACATAGACTTCTTTAGACATAAGCCAACTAAAATAGCCACAGAAATGTATTATCAAAACTGAATATTAACATAAAAATATACATTCTAGAGTCTAGAATGTATATTTTTATGTTAATATTCAGTTTTGATTATACGTTTATGTGGCTATTTTAGTTGGCTTATGTCTAGACATAAATATTTGTGCTATAAAGTCCTAAATCAGCTATATTTACAGTTCAGCTGTTTGGCTTTTTCTTCTGAGATTCCTGCAACTCCTGGTTTGGCTACTAAACCCAAGCAGGATTTATTCACTAAATAGCCAGTTATAGATACCGGACAAACAAACTGGACAATGTAGGGCCACAAATCTGCATTGGAAAATTCACTGTACTTTCCAAATTGAATTTAGCTATTTGGTTTTTAATTCACTGCAATTCATTGTTTAGCGAATAAGCCCCTTAGTTTTTCTCTCCACCATGAATTGTCAGGAATCACACAGAAATCTGCAAATCTTAGACACAAGGAAGAAAAATATTCAGTTAGCGGTTTTCACCATTCAGCAACATTTCCAGCCTAACTATTTTGTTTAACGTCATTATGTAGCAGGTGTTGTTATTCAGTACTGCTGAGTATGTATGCAGAGAACCCCTAAAATAATTATGACACAAAGATAGCTTTTCTCCCTGAAATTTATCATAATATCTACCTTTCCTGGTTAAGTGAATAAACCTGAACAGTTTGTTAAGGATTTACAAAATACATAATTAATTTTCTTTATGGTCCACTAATTAAAAAGGAAGCTATTCCGGCAAAGCGTATTAGGCCATGACTTACGTGGGAAAGACAAACGTGAAAAAGTAAAATAAATTTTTTCTATGTTTCTATGTTTCTCCAAATGCTGGAGGTGCCTGTCAGAGGAAGGTACCTTGATACACATCTGGTGGACATGTGAGTGAATCCGCCGGCTATGGGAGGATGTTAGACTATTGCTGGACTCGTTGGTTGAGCCAAACTTCAACCTAACCATCCCCACGTGCCTGCGACTACTACCCGATGCTCACCTTGACAGTAGTCGCCAACAGATGATAGCGATAATCATACTAGCTGTCAGAAACTTAATTACGGCAAACTAGAAATCTCTGAGTTGCCCATCACACATGTATGTGTGCCTGTCTGTATGTGTGCCTGTCTGTGTGTCTGTATGTATGTATGTGTGCCTGTTTGTTTGTATGTATGTGTCTTTTTATGTGTGTGTGTGTGTGTGTATGTATGTGTGCCTGTCTGTTATAGTGGGCTATAGTAAGTGGGCTACCTAGCTAAGCCTTCCTACTGGGCATTGCTATAAGGAAGGTTAAAAATAGAAAAAAGGGATAGAAGTCCAACAATTTTATGTATAGAGAAAATGTTGATAAGCTCTCCAATACAGTACGAAAAATGTCAGAAGACATGGAGCAACTGGGAAAAACAGGACCAAACGGACAGTGCACAAGTCAACCATGACTGACGGCAGACCCAAACACATGATTTTTGGGAGCCAAAACCTTGGGAGACTGCCGGGCCTCACACTAAACCACCTGTTGGGAGGCCATCAGTGTCTGTAAGTTACACAGCCTAGATATGTATTATACCTCTGCTATTTAAGTTTCTTTTTATATTTTTGTTCTGTTATTATCCTTTGTTTGTGACAATGACGTATTAAGGAGCAATGCTACGATAATTCACGTGGTAAACATATATACGCATTACATCGATGCATAATGTACTGGCAAGTGAGTCCAGATGTCAACTATATGACAAAGCCAATGTATATGCCGTACTCAAAACTGTGACGAAGATGTTTTCCTATGCAATGTTACAACACTTCAGGAGGTAAATATAACAGGAGCATAATACATTGTATGCAGTGACTCGAATTAAGTCCAGCTGACAAATAATTGGAGACTGTCAATGTGTACACCATGCTCCAAAATGTAACTGTATCAAACATGTCATGACTGTTTCATAAAAATCTCAATAAACTACAAATTAAAAAAAAAAAGTTAAATAAATTATTATATTCATTTAAAAAATATATATACTTTAAATATGTATTATTAAAATGTTGATAAATCTCTATGAAAATGCTCCTGATTACAGAAAAGGACAGATTTATTTTAATATAATTCACCGATGATAAATATAGACTTGCAATTACGTTATGCAAACGATGCCAGTAATTCATCCAGCTAGAATATAATGATGTATATATTATATTTGTCGTTTTTAAGTGACGCCGTGTATGAGAAATCACATTAATTTCTTTTATTTTTTTTCAGAACCAGCAAGTAATGCTGTTTGATAGGCTTAAACGCCAGGATAAGGGAAATGGCCAGAGACAAATACTATCCTGGAATCCTTAGAAGAAGGAAAATGCAGTGGAGAAACCAGCTACAGGTAGGTGAGTGAACAACTGTGAAAGTACAACAATTGGAGCGCTGAAGAGGCAACACAAGCCAGAACTAATTGTTATTATATTTTAAACACTTATATGCTAATGGAAACATAGATGCCCACTTAAAACGTGGTTTACAAAAGTACATTTCATGTGATAAAATCTGGACAAAACAATATAACTAATATAGACAAACCGTACCTGTTACTAAGGAGCATACACAGCTGCAGAGCAGCAGAACCGTCCAGCCAGCATTCATCTTTGGACTCCAGCTAACATTAACACCCAGGAACAAACTTAATAGAATTGGAACAAGCTTGCAGCCAATGACAAAAGCAGCATGGCATTGCATCATCAGTTACTGGGAAGATGGAGTTCAAGCTGAGTATGGCATTTTGTGCAGGAGGAGACTTTATATTTAAATATTTCCTTTTTAATGGCAGGGGAATTTGACTGAGCTGTGTATAAAATGTTTGTGATTAACACATTCGTGGTCCGGGAAAGTCCCACGGTTAGAGGAAGCGCTTCTTAAATTATACTTGGCCACGTTCTTGTAGTTACACCCATAACGACAACTTTTCATTCAAAAAGTACCCTCAAATCAAGGAGATGGAAAAGGGAACCTGTTACATTGAATTTTCCCAGTAATTCCCATAACTCTAGAAGCTTTAGGCCCATTCTCGCTGTCTCACTGGGTGGCATGGGGCATTCAAATATATATTCTAAGTATATACATAGGAGCTAAATTTCTCATTCTGCACACAGTGATCGCACCTCGGGGGAAGTGCGGAGGAGTAGCTGTATTTCTTTTGCATTATTCTTTGGGGGTACATAAAATACCTGCTACCAATAGCTGCAGATCTAGTGTCTGCAGCTATTGCAAGCCCTTCCCATTTTCTGTACCCTAAAAAGACGACGTGTGTGCGCAGCTTTTCATTCACACTTTTCAATGAGCTGTAGTAAATTTCAGTGAGAGGTATTATGAGGAACACTGTAACCAAGCACACCTGCTGTGTCCATTAGCTTAGAGGAGCTAACAGAGGCAAAAAAACCTCAACATTAACTTCAATATAAACTGAAAAAAATAAAGCACACTCTATACACATAAAGCACTTCAACAAGCCAAAGCTTTGTGCTTATAGTGTTCTTTTAAGGACATTATTTCTCTGTAGGAATAGATGCAGAGGGGAGGTTATGTAAAGTTAGAAAATTGGATACAATTTAGGGTGAAGCGCATTTAGTATAGAATTTAAGGGCAGTTGTTAGGATGAAGGACAGTATTTAAGGTTAAGCTGGGCATTTAGAGGAATACATTAAGTAAGGGCAGTATTTAGGATTAGGGATAGTAATTGGGATTAACAATGGGAAAGAGAAACAGGAGGGCAAACAAGAGAAGGGGAGAGGAACAAAAATGGAATAAGCAGCCAGAGTTTGAAGATACAATAGTATCAAAGTACTGTATCATTGTAAATTAATAAAGCCTACACATGCATGGCAACAATCAAAAACCGACTTTATTAGGTCTTTTCTAGTAAAAAAAAATTTTTTAAAAATCACCGTATCATACTGAGCTTTATTGCACCTAAAAATAACTAAATTCGACACTTTGCCAGCCATTGGAAAACCATTTCTAAAGTCCTCACGCACAGACACTCCCCTCTAGCTATAGCCCATTCAGAAATATCCTGGAGCTCTTTCCGCAAAAGATGGTGAGCCTACTCACACCTGATCACAACTACAGCAAAACACAGAGAAAATCCATATACGTGAGAGACAAGCTATGTGGCCTGAGCATGATTTGCCTATGAGTGTATTTTTTTATTCATTTTTGTGGCGTCAGAGGGACGTGTTTAGCATCCAGAGATATATGCATCCAGTGATTGGGGATTCCATAGTGTCCTGCAGAATACAGAGATATCTTCATCCAGTGATTGGGGATTCCATAGTGTCCGGTAGAATACAGAGATATCTTCATCCAGTGATTGGGGATTCCATAGTGTCCTTCAGAATACAGAGATATCTTCATCCAGTGATTAGGGATTCCATATTGACCTGCAGAATACAGAGATATCTTCATCCAGAGATTGGGGATTCCATAGTGACCTGCAGAATACAGAGATATGCTTGTAATGTCATATTTAAAAGATACATAGAAGACCTGCTTTAGTTATTGAGCACAAAATAACCTTAAAGGACCACTATAGGCACCCAGACCACTTCAGCTGAATGAAGTGGTCTGGGTGCCAGGTCCCTCTAGTTTTAACCCTGCAGCTGTAAACATAGCAGTTTCAGAGAAACTGCTATGTATACATTAGGGTTAATCCAGCCTCTAGTGGCTGTCTCACTGACAGCTACCAGAGGCGCTTCCGCGCTTCTCACTGTGAAAATCACAGTGAGAAGACGCATTGAGTAATGCTTTCCTATGGGCGGTTAGAATGTGCGCTGCAGCTCTTGACGCGCATGCGCATTCGGCGCTGATGTCGGCAGGAGGAGGACAGTTCCCCAGCGCCGACGGAGCCCGGCGCTGGAGACAGGTAAGTGGCTAAAAGGGTTTTAACCCGTCTATAACCCAGCAGAAGGGGGACTGTGAGGGTGTGGGGGGAACCTAAAGACCCTATAGTGCCAGGAAAATGGGTTTGTTTTCCTGGCATTATAGTGGTCCTTTAAATTACTCCATATCTCTTTTCACATAGTTAAAGGAACACTTTGAGAGCCAGCATAATTTAAGTGTATTTGATAGGTTTTGATCATGTAATGTTTAAATCTCTGTAGCTGTGCTTTTAAAAAAAAAAAAAAAAATAGGTTTTGGAGGGTTTTTTTTCAGCATAACCCTGCACTGTTTGATGTGTTCTGAGTGCATACTCAGCTCAGCCAATGACAGAGCAGTGTGAGGTGAACTGCTTACTTGAGTCTGCCTTCACCACCATTCACAACACCTCTCAACATTTAAATGGACAAAGATGTGCACTTTAATTTTAGGGGTGTGAGTGGAGATGTGGCCAGGGGCAGGGCTGTTTTGAGACAGTAGGTGACTTGCTAATAACATTTTATGTAACTAAAATGTAATTTAGAACGAGAACAATGTATCTTATTTATACAGACTGATTTATTCTTTATTTTGGTTTTGATGTAGTTTAAAGACACATTACTGTATAGCTGTGGAGCTTTGTTATAATCTCAGACACACCAACAATATGGAACACCTAGAAAAGAAGGACATTTGGACAGAAAAGAGGGACAGAGGGATTGGGTCCAAAATAGGGACTGTCCCACCTAAACAGGGACAGTTGGGAGGTGTGCATTTATTGTCCACTTATTATCTGTATAGTATTTCAAAGTGGTGCTAAGGTGAATAATAAAAGGAAAGTGATTTGCTGCACAGCAGGTGATGTCAGTAGCTCAGTTCTTGAATACATACTCAAAGTTTCTAATAAGGAAGTTGCTTTGTGAAAAGAGGGAGTGTCTTTAAAGGTACAGTGTCGTGCTGCACAAAGCTGCAGAACCTTTTTTTATTTGAATATAATCAAAAGCAAAGAGAGGCCAAAATCTATCAAATGCAATTGTTATGTTGTTATTGGAGGAAGGCAGATGCAGTTCCTATATTTAAAAAGGGTTCAAAATCATTGCCTGGAAATTATAGACCTGTGAGCTTACCTTCTGTTACTGGAAAAATATTTGAATGGCTATTAAGGGATAATATTCCGAAATTAATTGGGAAGAACTTTGTTATTAGCAATAATCAACCTGGTTTTATAAAACATAGGTCATGTCAAACTAACATAATTGCATTCTACGAAGAAGTAAGTAGAAGTATAGATCAGGGTGTTGCAGTGGATGTGATCTACTTGGATTTAGCCAAGGCATTTGATACGGTTCCTCACGATAGGTTAGTGTTCAAATTAAAATAAATTGGTCTAGATGAATATTCTTGTTCGTGGGTAGAACATTGGCTTAAGGATAGAGCACAATGAGTTGTCATTAATGGTAAATTTTCAAACTGGACGAAAGTGGTAAGTGGTGTCCCTCAGGGTTCTGTTTTGGGACCGCTTCTATTTAACATATTTATAAATGATCTTGCAATAGGCATTGAAAGCCACGTTTTAGTGTTTGCAGATGACACAAAACTTTGTAAAGTAATAAAATGTGAGCAGGATATTACTTTGCTGCAGAGGGATTTAGATAGATTGGGGGACTGGGCACTCAAATACCAGATGAAATTTAATGTAGAAAAATGCAAAGTTATGCAGTTCGGGGGAAAGAATGGACAAGCAACTTACTTCCTAAATGGTAGTGAATTAGGGATAACCACACACGAGAAGGATTTGGGAATTGCTATAGACAAAAAATTAGGCAGCAATATGCAATGTCAATCAGGAGTTGCTAAGGCCAGTAAGGTTTTGTCATGTATAAATAGGGGCCTAAATTCTCGGGATGAAAATATAATTTTGCCTCTTTAGAAAGACCACACCTTGAATATCCTGTGCAATTTTGGGCACCTGTTCTAAAGAAAGATATCATGACACTAAAAAAAGTGCAGAGACGCGCTACAAAATTGATAAAAGAAATGGAGCATTTTAGTTATGAAGAAAGGTTAAAAATGTTTAATCTTTTTAGTTTGGAAAAACGGCACCTCAGAAGGGATATGATAACATTATACAAATATATTTGGGGTCAGTACAAACCATTATCTGGAAATCTATTCATAAACAGGGCTACACATAGGACACACGGTCACACATTTAGGCTGGAAGAAAGGAGATTTCATCTAAGGCAAAGAAAAGTTTTTTTACAGTGAGATATGGAAAAATAGGATATACCTAAACCTATATAATAAAGAAAAAAAGCTCATAGGAAAATAACGTAAATTCACAAATGGCCCCTTATTTCAATGTCACACTCACAAAATTGGAGTAATTTTCAGGCTCATCAATTTATTGTAGGTTCTCACGGCTTCCTCATAGTTAAGATGATGAATGTTGCATGCAAAAAATAAAAAACAGCTGTGAATCAGTTTTAATGGTTACACTTACAGTATAAAAGATGTAACAAGGCCCATCAATACAGTTCTGTGTATCCCTTCAATTTGGAGTAAGATGATCTTCACAGAAATATTAGGCAGAGAAAACAAAATAAACAAAATAAACAATAAAATATGTCTCTACGCGTTTTGTCTGAACCGTCAGACTTCCTCAGGAGTAAAAAGTCAAATGAAATGCTTCGGATCTTTTGGGAGCTACAGCTGTCTTTTAAAAGTCCCTCCCGCCGGCTTCTCATTCTATTCCTCCAATCCGCTGTCTTCAATTAACTCAGCTCCGGTTGTTCATCCTCTTTTTCCTTATATGGAGTTCCGGGGAGGGCATCCGTGGAACGCATATGCGTTCCACCAATCCGGAAATGCTCTCACTTCCTCATTTAGGCAGGCTCTGCAGTAGTTCTATATGTAGCTGGAACGCACACGCGTTCCACTTCGTCCCTGTACGATCCTCATGCAGATCAAATCATCCCAAACATTAAAATAAAATTGCAACATATTAGTCATTAATCATAGTCTTAAAACAACCTATATAATTACAGGACTGCTATAAATATATAGTCATTTTCTTTTGTGCTTACATTTTTTAAACATAAAATATAAAACAAACATCATTCTTGTAATAACCCAAATATTTATTTTACAATGTAAATATAATATTTGGAGGGTGAAGATTTTTAAAGTGCAAATGAGGATCGTACAGGGACGAAGTGGAACGCATGTGCGTTCCAGCTACATATAGAACTACCGCAGAGCCTGTCTAAATGAGGAAGTGAGAGCATTTCCGGATTGGTGGAACCCATAGGTGTTCCACGGATGCCCTCCCCGAAACTCCATATCAGGAAACAGACGATGAACAACCGGAGCTGAGTTAATTGAAGACAGCGGATTGGAGGAATAGAATGAGAAGCCGGCGGGAGGGACTTTTAAAAGACAGCTGTAGCTCCCAAAAGATCCGAAGCATTTCATTTGACTTTTTACTCCTGAGGAAGTCTGACGGTTCAGACAAAACGCGTAGAGACATATTTTATTGTTTATTTTGTTTATTTTGTTTTCTCTGCCTAATATTTCTGTGAAGATCATCTTACTCCAAATTGAAGGGATACACAGAACTGTATTGATGGGCCTTGTTACATCTTTTATACTGTAAGTGTAACCATTAAAACTGATTCACATTTTATGACAGTTCTATACTATGCTGTTTTTTATTTTTTGCATGCAACATTCATCATCTTAACTATGAGGAAGCCATGAGAACCTACAATAAATTGATGAGCCTAAAAATAACTCCAATTTGGTCAGTGTGACATTGAAAAAGGGGCCATTTGTCAATTTACTTTATTTTCCTATGAGCTTTTTTTTCTTTATTTTATAGGTTTAGGTATATCCTATTTTTCCATATGTATTGAGGATTGAGAGGAATCCTTTGTTATACCAAACTAAAAAGGAAGTAATTGTCTTTTTTATTATTTATATACACTGCACCTGGGTGGTCTAAACTGTATTTTTACAGTAAGAGCAATAAGGATATGGAATTCTCTGCCTGAAGAGGTGGTTTTATCAAAGTCCATACAGATGTTTAAACTGCAATTGGATAAATACTTGCAAAAACATAACATACAGGGATATAATTTCTAATTAGTGGGGTAATGGCTGCTAAATCCAAGGAGACATCTGACTGCTATTTTGGTGCCAAGAAGGAATTTTTTCCTAGTTTGTTGCAAAATTGGAAGCGCTTCAGACTGGGTTTTTTTGCCTTCTTTTGGATCAACAGCAAAAACACATGTGAGAAAGGCTGAACTTGATGGAAGCATAGCATTGCTGGAGTTTGTTTTTAAATATCATTCTCTGGCAGTGTTCCGACAGCAACCTTGTAGGCAGGTATTAGTTTTATTACAAAGCATGTCAACAATGTGAGATATGAAATAGGGATGGTGGGTGGGCAGGCCTATAGGAAGCATGCGTGACTTGCATAACTGGTAACGCCGAAACAGCGAAGCACTGAATTGAGAATATTCAACAAGGACATGCTTCTCGTGTCTGTCTCGTGTCTGTTTGCCTGACATCCACAAGAGGCATATTCTTGGCAAACTGTAAATATTGCAATTTCTCTGAAATAGCAGTGTTTTATTTAATGCCAGACTGCATGGACCGGGTTTTTGCACCAAACCTGCTTTATTAAGAGGAAGATGATTTGGTGCTTAGAGAGATCATTGAACAATGATAAAAGATACAAGCAAATGGATTTGCATGATTTTCTAGAATACCCTGCTACCTCCTCAGACTCAGATCACATTTCCTGCTAGTAAGAATCACTAGTTAAGCTCTGTTAACTCCTACCTGAAGTAATGTTAGTCCACATCATTGTATCCTTGGATTGGAATGTAACCTACAGGTAAAGAGAAGAATGTACTGAAAAACATGTTGATTCACACAAATACTGCAATATATCTACGAACTAAACTTATAGGGGTGTATTCTACAATCAGTGGTAACACAATGGAGGTTGCAAGGGGTGCAGTTTTAACCAGAGCCCCAAGTCATAAGAATTCAGCAGCAGGGAATACCCGTGGTACAGATATGTCTTTCTCTGCCTCATTTTATGTACATAATAGCTGTAGTTATAGACTTTATATTTACTATATGAAATTAAAGAGATAATATATCTGAGTTATTTCATTAGGTTTTTCTGTTACTTTATGTTTTTATGTGACCGCTGGGTCTGGACTGGACATTCTTTGACAACCGTAATACCAATTCTACAGTCCAAGGCAAACTACTGTGCATATTGAGATATATCTATATATACTGTTGTCTTACCACTTTGCTTGAAAAATGTCCAGTATAAAAGTCCTGTTATGGCAGATATTGATCCTAAAGCAAATATTACTGAAGAAATACAGATTTTAACAATCTGAGTTGAGGTGAATCCCTGTTCTAGAGAAAAAAAAAAAAGATATACAAACATTAGACATCTGAAAAAGATACAGAATTATATGAAAAATAAAAGGCAAGTAGCAACAATAATTGAACCAGAAAAGGCATGTTTTACACAAAACATTCAAGTTGCCCAGATTGTATAACAGCATGTAACCTTGTATTGTCGCTACAGACAATAGAATAAAAACAACCACTAACACAATCTTGGCTGAGTATCAGTCATACTTCCCAGTGTCCCACAGGAATAATTGCGGCACCTGGAAGTATTATATCAAAATCCCATTAAAAACTATATCACTGGGAGTTAATTTGCTGCCTTCAACCTTGATCTCGTTTTTACACGATCATTTTCATTAAATGGGCGCCTAGATTTGTCTTCCAATCCTTTAAGGAACCAATCACCCAGGCCTTTCCTCTCAAGCTTTGTTAAATCAAGGGCCTAATCTGTTCAAGAAAACCACTCCTGTGCTGAAGGAGGTTCCATCTCCTTCTCTACTCTGTTGGGAGATAGAGGGATGGAGGGGCGTGACTGATCAGCGTCCTCCAATCTAATATACACCAACCAATGGGCTTTGAAGACAGTGCTACCTTGCTGTAAGTTCATGAGAGAAGCTATAAGTTTCTAGAAGTTTGCGAAGCTGATAAGATAAGGAAAAGGCTTTAATAAAATGTTACATTACAAGTCATCACTAAGAAACCACACAACATAAGAATCATGCAGGTGGAAAAGTCAAAAAAGCACAATAGGACTGTTTGGGGCACGCAATGTTTATAATGTTTATAATGTTAATATGGCTTAGCAAGATGTTAAATTAATCAATGTATATGTATATTTTACACTTACTCCAAGTTATTGTCATCTTATTTTCCAGGCTGGGATGCTGCACGACACATTTGTATTCATCATCAGGCAAGGAATCTATCAGATTTAGTTCAGCCTTGGTCTGGTATGTCCAGTCCCCATTTGGGAGAGCCATTGACAAGTTACTTACAGTAACATCATTTTTCAGCCAGCTCACAATAATATCACTGGGATAAAACCCCCAAACTTGGCATACAAGCGTGTGTGAGGCCTGGCCACGAAATGTGTCAGGGATAAAAACTTTCATGGAGGGCTTGGCTGTAGACAAACACAGAGAAGAAGATGGTGGGAAAACTGTACTAGAGACAAAAACAGTGGGACAAAACCAAAACAAGTCATACGGTGATGTTAAGTCAATTAATTTGCTCTTTCTTTCTCCCTTAATTTCTCTCTAGTTTGTCTTTACTGGCTCCTTATAAGTCAATGACAAGTTATTTTCTTTTAAACGTATATAGTGTGTTTCAGTGTGTTTTTTTTGTCCTTCTTTTGAATTAAGAGCAGCGACACGTGACTTTATTCAAACCCATTTGAAATTTGGAGAAGGTGTGAATTTGCATCCTTATTAATATCTGTGCTAAGCGGATACTAAAGTGAATGGGTTTGGTTATATGACTTGGTGCTTACTAGTTATTGCACAGTATGCCCTAAAAAGGTAGATACAAACACAATATGTGTTTTGGACACACCAATTCATACTGCTGCCAATGGGAAGTGTAAACACCCCAGCTTCCTCAGAACTTAGAGCTTAAGAGACAACGGTCATCAAGTTTTCACTTCTTGTTTTTTTTTTAAAATGAAACGTAAAGATTTTTTTCACATGTATGTTTTCTAAATATACATTAATGTTATTTTTGAAAAATATATTACATTTCTTTAAGTGTAATAACTTTTAAAACACAAGATAAGTAAAAATATGAAGACAGTAGTCTTTTAATATCAAGCTGAGTCTGTGCAGAAATTTAATCTGTACAGATGTTTAAACACAATTGGATAACATTCCTACAAAAATATGGCATTTATAGATATCATTTTAATTAGTGGGGTAATAGCTTCTTGATCCAAGGAGAGATCTGACTGTCATTCTGGGATCAAGAAGGATTTTTTAATTCTGTTGCAAAATTGGAAGCGCTTAAAACTGGGTTTTTCACCTGGTTATGGATCAACAGCAAGAACTATCTAACTATGTACCTCTGTAAAGGAACACTATAGCATGTATTTCTAACACTATATTGTGTTAGGAATGATTTAAATTCCTGCCATCCCCCCCACCCCCTCCCCTAAATAAAGAGATTTGCTTTTATTTTTTGTCACAGCAGCCCTGCCTCCCCAGCAGTGATCATCAATCCTGATAATTTCAACCAATTCTGATGAGGAAAGCAGTGAGAGGCTAGTGTGCATGGGCAACATATCACCACACTGTGCCAATCAGCATCATTGCAGGAAGTCTCTTTTGTGGCTATCAGAGTGACAGCTACTTGTGGTAGGTTAAGGTAGCAGTATAAATACAACCTTTTCTCAGAAAAGGCAGCATTTACACTGCTAATTAGCATGCAGTGCAGGCTATATGCCCTAGAATCTATACATTAAGCTGTTGTGGTTTTTGGTGCCTATGATGTCCTTTTAATTGCAGTTCCCACTTACCTCACCATTCATTAGAATCTTTTTGATGTGTATATATAAGGGTTTCGTAAAATTATTAAAGAGACATTTAAAGCACTAGGTGAACTATGACTTACTAATAGACTTACTAACATGCAGGTTGTTTTTTTTTATCATAGAAAATGTTGGCTCAGAAATCAGCTTTTTGGCCTGTGTAATAGCCACCCCATGAAGTAGCATTGGCACAAAATGATTAATAAAGAGATGTTTTCAGGTCATTCCCCATAGTGCAGGGGTAGGCAACTTCATCACTACAGATCTTGTGGACTACCAGTGTTGTGGCTGTAAGAGCATTATGGGAGATGTAGTCCACACCGTCTGAGGTGCTGAAAGTTGCCTAGCCCTGCTCTAATGGGTACTGTAATACTAATACAATGGACAGATGGATGGAGAGAAAGAGAGGTAGATAGACAGACAGACAGATGGATGGAGAGAAAGAGAGTGTTATAGATAGATAGATAGATGATAATAGATGGATGGATAGATAATTCACTATGTATTCATTGTAGTTACATTTCATATTGCTTACCAGTTCTTTGCACGGTGCTTCCCCAATATTTTGCCACTTCCTTCCCACACTTTCTCTCCTTCTCTTCTATATATTTCACCATGTCTTTTTTACCATGGTTGAGTGTGAGACAGATATCATCTGCCACTCTCCTCAGCTGAAGGATGCAGTTTTCCGATGGTAAAAACATCCTGTCATCCTTGGAGAACACCACTATGGGCTGACGGTTAAAGTTCAGTTGATAATTAAATGTAACATTTGTCCCCTCGTCACCAAAACAGCAGTCTGTGATCTCCTCCAGCACGAACCCTGCAAATAAAGAACACTGCAATGTCTTCTCATGAAGAAAGTAAACTGGTTACAGTTAGGGAGCTTCCAGTACAGATACTCTGACCTCAAAATGAAATTCACTTTCAATTCTTATTTTAGTGAATAACCCTGTGTATAATGGTTATATTCACAAGGCGAGACATCATAAGACATCAAAGGGGTCTATGGCGTTATTTAAAACCTTATCATGTTGGTACTAATACCGCTAATGTGAACTTATTTGAACAGTTCCCCTCTAGTTCCTGTATATCAGGTGCGTCTTGATGCCAGGACTGTCATCAGAGATTTTAGGGCACCTTACACAGCTCAAGGCCTGTGACCCGAGCAGGGCCGGCCTTAGGGGTGTGCGAGCTCTGCGGCCGCACAGGGCGCCATAGACCAGAGGGCGCCCTGTGGCCACCACAGCTCACACATGGCCGGTGTCAGGGGAGCTAAAATAGGTACCCGGGTGGAGGATTAATTATTCTCCACTCGGGTCTATAAAAAAAATAAATAATTGAGGCAGTGGGGGCTTAGCTTAAAGAGCGGCAGGGCGGGTCTTATCGTGAGGCGGAGCTACTAAGTACCAGAAGCCCCCTGGTAACTGCTGCACAGGAACTGCATCCACTCCCCCTGCCAGCCATAATGGAAAGAGGTAAGTCTGTGTGTGTGTGTGACTGCCTGCCTGTGTGTGACTGTTGGCCTGTTTGTGGGACTGCCTGCTTGTCTGTTTGTTTGTGTGACTGCCTGCCTCTGTGTGTGTGACTGTCTGCCTGTGTGTGTGAGTGTCTGTCTGTGTGACTGCCTGCCTGTGCGTGTCTGTGCCTGCTTGTGTGTGACTGTCTGTGTGACTGCCTGCCTGCCTGTGTGACTGTCTGTCTGTGTGACTGCCTACCTGTGTGTGTGTGACTGTCTGCCTGCCTGTGTGTTTGACTGACTGTGTGTGACTGTTTGCCTGTATGTGTGACTGCCTGTGTGTGTGTGCCTGTCTGTCTGTGTGACTGTCTGCCTTCCTGTGTGTGTGTGTGTGTGTGTGTGATTGTCTGTGTGACTACCTCCCCGTGTTTGTGTGTGACTGTGTGTGTGTGTGTGTGACTTTCTGCCTGTGTGACTGGCTGCCTGTGTGTGTGACTGCGTGTGTGTGTGTGTGTGACTGCCTGCCTGTGTGTGTGTGTGTCTGTCTGTGTGTGTGTGACTGTCTGCCTGTGTGTGTGTGTGTGTGATTGTCTGCCTGAGTGTGACGCTGTAGCTGTGCCGTTGTGTGTGCCTGTGCCTGTATGTGTGACTACTTGCCTTTAACTGAGTGTGTGCCTATCAGCATGCGTGAGTGCATGCATGCCTGTAACTGGTGGTCTGTTGGCACAACACAAGCTACCAGCTTGCTTGCTTGAATAGTGAAAAGGTGGGCCTAGGAAACTCCAGCTACCACCTCCGGCAAGTCCTCTACCTCTCTCGTGAGCCCCGACATTGTGCTGCATTGAAGGCAACGCTCTGACAGCCAGGGCTGTGAGAGGACCTGCCGGAGGTGGAAGACAGACTGACAGGTATTGATTCATTCAGTGCAGCTGAAAGGGATTTGTCCACAAGTGTAATAATTACAAAAGCTGAATTACTGCATTTAATATCTATAAAAAAATGTTTTCTTAAATCATATATGTTTAAAATCTTGGAAATACAAGCCAGTGGCCACATTACAATTTAAAAAATAAAGTAAAATTGCTCCAATGTCTAAGTCAACTTGTGCCCATTATAGGTGCAGGGTGTTTATAATGTGTTTGATATTGTTAATTGTTTTGTGTGTTCACCTGTCCTACTGATGCTTGTTACCAATTAAGTGTATTTAGCTATAGAGCCTGTATAGCGCCCTTTGTTGGTAGAAACAGCTATATGCTATGTTTATGTTAGGGTTAATCCAGCCTCTAGTGGCTGTCTCACTGACAGCCGCTAGAGGCGCTTGCGTGCTTCTCACTGTGATTTTCACAGTGAGAAGAGGCCAGCGTCTATAGGAAAGTATTGTGAATGCTTTCCTATGGACTGGCTAAATGCGCGCGCCGCTCCTGCCGCGCATGCGCATTCAGCCGGAGAGGAGGATGGGAGCTCCCCGCCTGGTGCTGGAGAAAGAGGTAAGTTTAACCTCGAGTATGTTTTCGTGGCACAATAGTGGTTCTTTAAAATTGTCCCTGACATTACCCTTCATAATGATGTCACCATGCACAGTAACCCAGTTTGTAACTACCTTTAAATTATACTTTATCACCGGTGACAAATAATACAGTGCAATTTTCCAGGTTTCAAACAGTACAACACTTGAGGTCAGTTTTTGCATTTAGCGCCCATGCACTGCTCATGTTATGTAACAAATATCTTGCTATTCAATGTTGCCTAATTGGTTTTCACTGACTGCCAGTTGTTCTCTGAGTTGTGAATTTTATGATGTGAATAAAGTATTTTTCTGGTTTTTTTTAAACCAACATTTTTGTTGACACCATTCATAAAACACACATTATGCAATAATGTGGAATACATGTTGTAACGGATCACCTGGCACCCCGACTGGGTACCTCCGTTGAAGGATGCTCCTAGCGCTTCCTGAGGACTCCAAGCACTCTGGCAGACACCACAATCACCGAACTGGAGAAACAAATAAATTCTCCCAAGCATATGAATGCTGTAGACAGTTGAATAGGAACCATACGAATAGGTTTACTCTTCTAGCAGTCAAACTGGAACAGCATACAATAAATCCATCCCCCAATAATGAGACGACACTTCACTTTGAGGGTTAAGCAGGAACTCTCTGTACTGTCTCTTTTATTCCCAATCCACAAACATAGTACAGCTCACAGGGCGTTACAAAACAACTAATCAACCCATACAATACACCCAGACACTCCCACACAAAATCCTCCCCTCTTCATGTGATATGATTACTGAACACAATGGGTAATCTCATTATCTCTGGCAGAGGAATACAGTTTTTACACAATATTTATAACCTCTAAAATATACATGTCACAAACATAAAACATACATTTTCATAATCAATCCATTCAGGGGAACAACATATTAAAAAATGGCACGAATCAGACCAGGGGTTCAAAAGTTAAGGGAAAGTACTTTGTGACTAAATGAAGCATGGCTTTCCGGCCCAAACCAGTTTCGGAGTCTTCTATCCTGGAGATAATTGAGAGTAATTCAATTATCTCCCAGGACAGACACAAGACTCCATTAAGCACATGGTTGCAAAAAGACATAAAACACTTTAAAATACATAAAGTCACCTTTTACACATAAGACACAGACATTTCACATATCCCCAGATAGCTGGGATCTGAGCGCACAAAACTACCGAATAGCGCTCAGATCCTATTCACACAGTTCAATTGCCATGGAGCTGAAGTCTTTAACTACACGAATGGGCTCCATGGCATAGCTATCTGGGTTAACACATTCACATAAAGTCTGGTCCATAGTCCAAAGGCAAGAGGCGGGCAAGCAGCCCCCTCCAAGGACACGTGGCGAGGCCGGTTTCGCCACATTTCTCCCCTTTACCATCCAGACTAACAGGGTATCTGACCTCCTGCCGGTCAGTGCCCTGGTTAGTCCAGCAACCCACCCACGAAGCACAAACAGCAATACAGCCCACCCACAATAACTGGTTACTACACCTGGATAAAATAGCAACTTTTCCATGTCCAGGTGCCTCACCACGGCTGTGCGGGGGGTTGGTAGACTGCCTTGGTGGGTTGCTGAGTGGGCAGAGACCAGCGGTACTCTGCCCGGGTGCCAGCGCTACCACTGAAGTAGCCTGGTTGGAGCCTGGTTGTGGGAGAGGGAGACCGACTGTCTCCCCTCTGGATACACTGCTCTGTGGCTCGGTGACAGGACCGACTGTCCTTACCCCTGGTGCTGCAAGTGCAGAGACTACGGTCCCATCTGCATAGGTCCCATCTGCATAGGCTTAACATCTCCCCTTGGTGGGTTAGGCTGCCGCTGGAGAGAGGGTGTAACAAGCTCCTCTCTCTGAATTGTAGACTGCCGCTGGGGAGAGGGGGTAACCTGCTCCTCTCCCTGACACTCTCTTTGCTGGTGGAGAGGGGGACCAACTGTCTCTCCTTTCAATATTTTGTCTTGCTGCTGGGGAGAAAGACAGACTGTCTCCGCTTCCTGCAGGACACACTGCCGCTGGGGAGGAAGGACTGCACCTTCCGTTCCCTGGGAAACATACTTCCGCTGGGGAGGAAGGACCGCACCTTCAGCTCCCTGGGACTCACACTGCCGCTGGGGAGGAAGGACAGCACCTTTGGCTCCCTGGAACTCACACTGTCGCTGGGGAGGAAGGACAGCACCTTCGGCTCCCTGGAACTCACACTGCCACTGGGGAGGAAGGACGAACCCTTCGGCTCCCTGGGACTCACACTGCCGCTGGGTAGGATGGACAGCACCTTCAGCTCCCTGTGATACATACTGCCGCTGGAGATCTGGGCCGACCGCCCAGCATCCCTGTAGGGTCGGTAGAGAGACCGCCGTCCCATCTCCACCTGCCATCTGTGGGTCTTCCCAGGACCAGTCTGTGAGGTCCCTCAACATTTGCGAGTAAGGACCACCTGCTTCCGCACCTGGCAACTCCGGCTGCTGCTGGGGATCTGGGACAGTCACATCTCCACCTGCCTGTTGTGGTTCCTCACAGGACCAGTCTATGAGGACCCCTACTTCGGATTCCTGCGGCCGCCTCAGGGGGAGACAGCTAGCCTCCTCGGATGCAGCCTCTACTCGGCTGCTGTAACACTCCTTCCGCTGAGCATACTCTCTCTCTTTCGCCAGCCGGAATTCTCGGGCCAGCCTTGTGTTTCGCTCGGCCGTGACCTGGTTCCAGATCACCCGGCGTACCTCCATGGGTAAATCATCCCCATACTGGGCCACTCGCTGCCTCACCTCGGCCATCCAATCATCGCCAGAGCCTTCCATACTTGTCTGCTCCAAGTCGCTGGATACCTCTGCTCCCAGGGGCGCTGCACGTGTGCTAGCGTTGCCCTCAATTTGTAACTCCACGAACGGTGTCTCTGAGCTGCTTTACCTCGCACTAGGACGCCATCCCACCGCTTGCCACCAATGTAACGGATCACCTGGCACCCCGACTGCGTACCTCCGTTGAAGGATGCTCCTAGCGCTTCCTGAGGACTCCAAGCACTCTGGCAGACACCACAATCACCGAACCGGAGAAACAAATAAATTCTCCCAAGCATATGAGACAGTTGAATAGGAACCATACGAATAGGTTTACTCTCCTAGCAGTCAAACTGGAACAGCATACAATAAATCCTTCCCCCAATAATGAGACGACACTTCACTTTGAGGTTTAAGCAGGAACTCTCTGTACTGTCACATACAGTCTCTTTTATTCCCAATCCACAAACATAGTACAGCCCACAGGGCGTTACAAAACAACCAATCAATCCGTACAATACACCCAGACACTCCCACACAAAATCCTCCCCTCTGCATGTGATATGATTACTGAACACAATGGGTAATCTCATTATCACCGCAGAGGAATACAGTTTTTACACAATATTTATAACTTCTAAAATATACATGTCACAAACATAAAACATACATTTTCATAATCAATCCATTCAGGGCAACAACATATTAAAAAATGGCACGAATCAGACCAGGGGTTCAAAAGTTAAGGGAAAGTCCTTTGTGACTAAATGAAGCATGGCTTTCTGGCCCAAACCAGTTTCAGAGTCTTCTATCCTGGAGAGTAATTCAATTATCTCCCAGGACAGACACAAGACTCCATTAAGCACATGGTTGCAAAAAGACACAAAACACTTTAAAATACATAAAGTCACCTTTTACACATAAGACACAGACATTTCACATATCCCCAGATAGCTGGGATCTGAGCGCACAAAACTACCGAATAGCGCTCAGATCCTATTCACACAGTTCAATTGCCATGGAGCTGAAGTCTTTAACTACACGAATGGGCTCCATGGCATAGCTATCTGGGTTAACACATTCACATAAAGTCTGGTCCATAGTCCAAAGGCAAGAGGCGGGCAAGCAGCCCCCTCCAAGGACACGTGGCGAGGCCGGTTTCGCCACACATGTTCTTTTTAAAGAGGGTTAAATCAATGTATACATTATGTTTACTGGCCATTTATAAATACATGTGTAAGGTGAAAGTTATTTCCATGCAATACATTTTTGTTAATTGGCATTAATATTAAGCAAACATATTATTATTATTAAGTGTTCTTGCATAGCAAGACCACTTAAGGTTATCTCACATATATATTATTCTTATTCTTATTATAGCCAAATTTACCACCCTAACTCCCCCCACAGTTTTTACACTACATAGACAGTAATTTACCAAAACGTGCAAATTGTTCCCGATTAGATTGCTATTACTTTGTGGAACGTTTCGCCAAATGGTTCACAGAATATCGTCTGTCTTGTGGTGAAATTGGTCCCATAGGAATGAATGGCAAAATGTTCAAAACTAGAGTGGGAGCTGGCAAAAGCTGAAAAATCAGGACATGATTTCTAAACTGCCATCACTCCCCCTTATTTTCAAGCCCACCTACACAAATCATATATCAAAACGTTCAGCTATCCCTGCTGCCACTGAAAATGTCCACAGCTAAACCATAGTCCTGCTAGTTTACACAATATGACCATTTGTTTGCAACTCACACCGTCCATTGACATTCTTTGAAACTCCATACTAGCCAGCTCAAATTTGAAGGGCAATTTCTAAACTGCGACTGTGCCTTCATTTTTAATACTTCAGAGACATACTATGCATCAAAATGTAGGTCTGAGTCTTGTGATTCTCACAATGTAAAGCTCTTCGCTGTAGGATTTATAAAATACCAAAATACTCTGACCTGTGCCAGGCTGGAGCAGCAAGTGATATCATAGACAGGGCCTTTTGTACACCTGCTAATGTTTTTATAAATGTATTTTTTAATGTAACTGTGAAGCACTTTGGGCATCAACGTTGCAATTAAATGTGCTATATAAATAAATAATAACAGTTACTCCGCCCACTCCAGTTTTAGACTACTGGTGGAAGCACGAACACCACACAATTTCCCCAGAAATTGTAGCTTTTCTAGTTAATATTATTATTTTACTGTCTACTATACCCTACAACATAATGTTTGATCTGTGGATTGACATGCAATAAATGACAGGTAAACAAGAAATATTACATGATTTAATTATAATGAATTTAAGTTGCACAGCTGTATGTAAATATGCTGATGTTATTCATCCATTCACCACAGAAATGTTCCCTGCTAATATTATAATAAGATATAAATATATACAATACCTGTAACTGAGTAGCACACACAGATACAGAGCAGGAGCACTGCCCAGCTTCCCTTCATGTTTGCAGTCTGGAGAAATATAACACTCAGGAATTGATGTTATCAGAACTGACAAAGACTGCAGCCAATGAGAAGTCAGCAGATGGAGTATCATCAGTTACCAGATAGAATTGTCTCTACACCTGTACAGAACCAATACCTGGCCAATGGTCCAACTGATCATGACTTGGATTCCTGCCAGTCTGTATCCTATATCTCTGTGCCCAAATGGCTCTATCCAATGTGCAGAAATGTGACCAGTCTGTATTCAACTACAAATGACACATTATTAAAAAAAAAGTCATTGTGACAGCTGCAATTCCAATGTTTCTTAATACCTGTTTCATTCCGCTAGTTACTATCAGTATTAGGCAATAAACCACATTCCCCTACTTTGGGTCTTAATTATTTGGTCAGAACTCAAATGTTGTTCCCCGTATGATTTCATTGGGTTCCACTGTTTGGAGGAGATAATTATTTTCATCAGGTCCCAGGAAACTGTACATAATAAATGTTTTACTGTAGCCACACTGCCCTCCCCAATGCAGAGGAGACCACTTTGCCACTGGTGACAGTTTAATGAGAGTTATATGTATAATTCATTTTGTTATGTATTATGTCACAAGGCAAGGTCACTGAGCTAATTTTACAATTGAAGAATAAGTTGCCAAGCTAAAGCCATTGTTTGTTAGTTGGGCACCTGTCAAAAAAAGGGTTGATGATGACACGTCTTCAATACAGAATAAATATCATCAGTAAATCATATAATAAAGTACAGTCATTAAACAAATACTCTGTAAGCATTTTCACCACTGCAGCATGTTCTTGTGGTTATGGTGGTTATGGTACCTGGCGCTGCCTCTGGGTAAGCTGTCAAAACATTTACATCATTTTGATACTTACCTAGCTCTGCGTGGCACCAAAGTCCTTCCGGCCTGCAACGTCGTGCTAAAACGTACCCATGCATACCAATGGTGTACATTATTTATTGGCTGAGGCCATCAGATGACAGCTTTCAGTCAATGAATTATGTCCTAAGCTGGCATGCTAATGTGAAGGTATGAATTTTAACTACAGCATAGCAGGGCAGACCAGAATGCTTGCGGCACCTGATACAGCCAGGTAAGTGTGAAAGCATTCATGAACAGTTCACTACCGCAAACTGCAGTGGTTATGGTCCTTAGGGTACCCCTTTGACAGAAAATAGATTTAAAACATTTTAGAATCTATTTACAATTCAGCCATATTATGTTGGCACCCTATTTTATTCTCTCACTCTGAAGTTCCAGGCCCCCATTCTGTCCTCGTGTCAGTCGTCCACTCACACCCCCTCGTGGTAACTCATTTTGTTTGCTTGCTCTCTTTCCTGTGTGAATCTTGCATCTTCCTTCATATTAGTTTCTCTTCTTTATTCTCTTCCATGTCTGCTCCCCCGTCTCCCCTCCTAATGACCTAAGTTTAAATGTCACCCATGTCTCTTACCATTCTTCATGTCACTTTATCCCTCCCCAATCAAGGTTTGCATAGGAGAATTCAATAAATTAAAATATATTCAAAATATATCCAACCATCAGTGTATACTTCCCTGAGTATCAAAATACCAATATCTAAATATAAACTAGGATGCACAACAAATTTACTATCAATATAAATGCAATTTTATTTACAAAACAACATGATAATACATCAACATACAACATATAAAAGGACAAACAAAAACTGATAAGGCTAGAAATAGGACTTCTCCATGTCACTACATGTTAGTCATCTCCCCTTCATTCATATCAGCACTAGATTCTCATCCCTCCCTCTCCATTCAAACATTTATATTTTAGACACATCAAATTCCATCATGCCACCTGCAGCTTTTATTAATTCCGGGTGTCAGTAACAGGGTTGGTCTAGGCACAGTGTCAACTGCTCCTTCTGTTAAAGTCACCTAACCGGTCAGACAGGCTCGTTATTGGATTTTTCCATTGGTTGTCAAAGAGAAACTAAAAGGAGAAGTTGTATGTACAGATAAGGTTTGTAGGAAGTTAGGGGATTTTTACAGCACTGTGCCTAACATAAGGGTTTGTATCACTGTGATCAGGAATAGACCTACAATTTAAGGACCTTGCGTCTCAATGAAAGTTAGTTCAGAGGAACTTAGAATATTCAATATTTATAGTTTATGAGGACATCAAGAAGTTGCCCAATAATAAATACCACAATTATGTATTTATGTGCTGTGAGTACAGGTGTGCACAAGAGATGTGCCAGGTTTGCTAAGTACACCCTAGTAGGGCTGATTTGTCATGTCTGGCCATAATTAAAATGTCTACATGCTCAGTTGTGTTCATTTTGTTCGTTAACTGTTTAGAGATATAGAGCATGAAAATTGACTGTATGTATTCACCTGGATATGACTTGCATGTTGTTTTTTAAATAAAACAAAAAAATCTATTACATTTATGGAATCAATTGTCATCCTTTATAAAAGAAAAAAAGAATATAAATAAACCACCCCACCACCCTGGGCCTAATGACATGTGAGGTGCCAGAGAAGAAAGACTTGTGCAAGAACTGCTGGATAATTCATTTAATGGGTTAAGGCACAGCTCTACAAAATCTTTGAATGTCTTCAGTTGGAGGTTTGTATGGTTTATGAGCATCGCTACAGGAGTGAAAGCTGGGGAATTTTCCAAAAATTCATACATGTTATTCTAGTTCTTTAATTTCTGTTGAAATTGAACATATTTATTAAAAGTGAATTGCATACAAATAAACAGAATTTCTGGAAGTACTTAATACTCCCCTGCCCAAAAAATGGAAGTGGTATTTCTTTAACTGATTTGAAAAAAACTACTAGACTTCTTATTCGTCTCACTTAATGTGTCGGAGACTCCCTAATTGTTTTAAATTTTGGGTGGATCTGGAGGATGGAAGTATTACTGGTTTGTTGAGATTATTACCACGGGTGGACCGGCTGGTGGGGACAGTCTTGGTGGTCACCCATCACTTTGTTTTCTCTACATGATATATCTGGTATAAAGTATAAATTAGTTTTCTACATATTCACCCCTGCCTATGCCCCTACTCCATAATCCTTCTTTCATAGCAGGATCGAATGGCTTGGTTTGCTGACATCTCTAAGACATTGATTGACCTTAAAATCATCATGTTTTATCCCCGAATGGAAGTATAACTGTTAAAACCCACAGTGACATCCATGCCATTAATATGTCTTCTACATACTCATCTGACTCTTTGTCAAAGATGGCTTTCTCAGACCCATTGCCTCCCTAGGGAATTGACTGACTTAGAACTTTGCTATAGTGGTTAAGGCGCCAAAAGGGTTTTGCACTCTCTCAGAGTAAGCATCAAAACCTTTTAACAATTTAACAACTACCTGGATCCAGTTGGGAATCCACAGCCACAATTCCTGCTGCCAGAAGCTCCTGCCCCTGAGCTATCTACAGCCGCACGGTGCCAGCGTCATTGGCTGAGAGAACAAAGCTGATGGAACTTTGAGTTAGCTTAATGTAGCTAACTGTAAGCTCCTTGCATGGGGAATGGTGCTGGGCCCATCAGGACCTCGTTAAGTTGTCAAAACTTTCTTAAATGGTTTGACTTCTTACTCTGAGACAGTGCCAGTTCACTCATGGCACCATAACCACTTCAAACACTTGGATATGATTCTTGAAGTGTTTCTTTAAAAGCCATTGATTCACCATTAACCTGTATATATATTGTACAGCATTTGCTCCTTATCAATAGGAAAAATAAAATCACAAACAAGACAGACAATGTTGTCAAAGGCCATTTTATTAGAAATGAAAGAATTGGAAATTGCATATAAGCCATACATCAGTAGTAGTACCATCTATCCACACACGACAGTATCACCTTCGCGCACAAGCACTCAGTAAAGACCCACATTTCACTTTGCACACGAGTCAGAAATACACATAGAATTCATAAACATTCTAAACACAGAGGAATTAATAGATAGATACCTCTCAGTTATTTATCTGTCAATCAAGATCAGCCTTATGAATGGTTTGTGCACAGTAAAGAGGAACTACTAGTGTAGTAATTCTCAGCCTGTTTTGGACCAAGACATGCATCAATGAGAGAACATATTTGCAAGGCATGCATACTTTATTTGTTTTTACTTTGGGTCCCTTATAAATGTCACACTTATTGGTATCCTTGCTGGAGAGATATTCCCAAAATATATAACACATGCTTTAAGCTAAATTGGTGTACTAACTTTAATTGCCAGATGAGAATAATTTTTATGACACATATTAAAAAATACATATTAAAGGATTATTTTCAGCTTTTTATAGTCCTGAAGCAGATGTTTTCGTGGCAGATAATTTAGGTGGCATGGGGCCCACAGCATGAAAACTACTGCCCTGATGTATGGCAACCTCCATAGAACCGCTGCGTTTTACTAGATTTTGCTGTATAATGTATGCTTCTCGGGGTCATAGTTTAATCTCACATGTTATACATTTCTAATATTATCTCTGCTGCAATACAGTCTGTGAGTGTCACTTACATCTTCACATGCACTCTCCCAAATACTCAGCAGTAAAGCAAGACACAAAGAATGTGGAAATGGGAAAATGAACTCACTGCTAAAAAGCTCAGCTCATTTCAGACACACTGTGTGGGTCTATTCATTATTTCATAATGCTTTGAATTAAAATACCTTTAATTTATCCCTGAATTAATTTACCCTTCATTTAATTCATTAACAGTTTGTGTGAAAGTCCAAAGTATAACGCAGTGCAGCTTGGTGGACGGGAACATGTTTGTCAATAAAGCCAGTACAACATTTCCGATGTTGGCTAACAGTGGATAATGGCTAGTCCGTTGAGGTCAGAATCATTGAGAATACACCTTCAGGCATAACAGTCACCAGGACACTGACTCATCTAGAAATAGGAGGTTCTGTCAAGTCCCATTGGCTCAATCTGTGTAGTGGTAAAAAGAGACAAGATGAGTTAATGTACAATGTTATCAGCATATTTAAAATGTTTTGCAATCTGCTATGGGGTAGAAGAACCATGAATGCATTGGTTGTCACAGATATTCAGCTACTTCAAAGAGAAGATGCAGGGATTGCAAGACAGTCTATGTATGTGAATGAATTCATCTCCAACTCTAACACATGTCAGTATAACAAAGAGATAGAAAGTCTGAAATAAAATGAATCTTAAAAATTATATCCTTGTTTCTCACATTTATCAGAACCTATGTACTAACGTGAGAGAAATATACACAATTCTGTGTAAACATTTCTCTGAATAACATATGACATGATTTTCCTGCAGAAGTAAAAACTTTCAAACTCATTTTACAGTAACATATCTTCACCTAGACAATCATTGAGTTAAGAGTTTCTTACAAGTCAGAAAAATGCTAAAATCGCCCAGCAGACACAAAATAGTTTGGGATGTAACGCTAGTTATGAAATTTGATAGAACGCTGGGAGATGTGACACCTAAATTCTGATTTGTGATAGAATTTATGCACCATTAGTAAAATGCTTCTTTACTCTCCATGTGTTGAGACTCTAACGACCTGGCTGGCGTGCAAACTTAAAGTGATCCTGTTATGACATGTTCCTTCTAACATAAATCACCCCCAATGCTCTGAATACATCAAATATCAAGTTACATGATGTAATCAAAGCAATATTGTGAGATATTCCCTCGCCTCTGATCCAGTGCTGCTATGTCCTTATTACAAAATTAATTAATGAGTTAAGATGTTTTTGTTTACATATGATATATATAGAGAGGTGCCTCTGTAACACCCACCTCCAGCCCACCCATACTCCATTCCTCTCTTCTTTTATTTGCTCTGCATGGGGACAATTCCACAAACCGGGCAATTCTCCTGCGTGACACCAACACGGTGGATTCATTGCCAGCATGCCACTGCCTGACCAGACAGATATCATTCACTCATTTCCTATACTCCCTAATAGCATTGGCTAGTTGGATACCATAAGAAATGCAGAGCATGCAACGTGATTGCTTTGCTTGGAGAGGAAAATGACCGCTTGTGGGAGGTCTCCTCCTGTAGGACGGTCTCTTCTACTCTCCCAATCACTCAATTCAGAGTATACAACAGGGGTGCCCAGAAAGTAGAACCCCAGATGTTTTAAAACTACAACCTCCATGAGGCTTTGTCATTCTAAAAGCATTCTAAATGCATGCAAAGCATCATGGGAGGTGTAGTTCTACAACATCTGGGGATCTACCTTTTGGGCATGCCAGCCGGTGTACAGAGTCTATGGCGAATAACTGCCTGACAGGTGGGAGAAAGACCCATTATTAAATCAATTTTTCTCCCAATCTATACAAAGAGCATAAGTTCTACCTAGCATTACAGTTACCCTTTACGGGGAAGACGGTAAATCTTGTGACCCTTTCACTAATCAGTATAGTGTGATGAACTGACATGCAATGTATTTAATCCAAAATAGACAATGTGGAAAATACATTCATTTCTTCATTAATGCTGATTTATTTTCAACCTGGTTTTTGTCGTGTTAATTTTGTAGGTCACCTAGATACAGCTCACTGTGTAGTGATTACAACCTAGTAGTTACATAGTTACATAGCTGAAAACAGACCTGTGTCCATCAAGTACAGCCTTCCTTACATAAGTTTTATGTTGTTGATCCAAATGTGTTAACCATTCTTCGTAGCTGATATGTTCCATTCCTTTTATTAATTTTGTAGCCCACCTCTGCACTCCTTCCATTGCCATAATATTGTTCTTTAGAATAGGTGCCCAAACTTTGCCCAGCATATTCAATATGTCTTACCAGCGATTTATAATGAAGCAAAAGGATATTCTCAGCCCTTTTTCATACATGACAAAACCTTACTGGCCTTGGCCACTGCTGATTGACATTGCACATTGTTGCCTAGTTTGTTGTCTATAACAATTCCCAAATCCATCTTGTGTCTTCTTATCCCTAATTCACTCCCATTTAGGGTGTAAATTGCTTGTGCATTCTTTACGCCAAGGTGCATAACTTTAAAATTAAATTTAATCTTCCATTTTAGTGCCCAGTCCCCCAGTCTATCTAAATCCCTCTGCAGCAAAGCAATATCCTCCTCACATCTTATCACTTTACAGAGTTTTGTGTCATTTGCAAACACTGAAACATGACTGTCAATGCCTATTTCAAGATCATTTATAAATTTGTAAAATAGAAGTGGTCCGAAAATAGAACCCTAAGGGACACCACTTACCAACTCTTAGTGTTTATTCACTAATTGCCTAGTTATAATGAGTTGACACCCAAGTTAAGGCATTTATATTAAATAACCACCTTTAAAGAAAATGTAAAACTGCAGAGCTAGGAATAGATTCTAACCAGGGTATTTGAGCCTAAATGCTGCAAAATTAGGCTGACTTACTGCAACGTACTATTTAGTGAATAAACCAGAACTTGTTTATGGCACGCTGATGATCTTTCGAAACAAAATCAGATGTCTGTAAGCATGCGGTTTGGTGTTGACATCTCTGTATAAGTTACTTCCTCATTTTAATTGCCTGTTGTTCCTCTATATTTATACCAGAAGACCATCGCATGGATTTACAGATTTTAATCTACAGTTTGCTTTATACCTTTTATATAATAATAGTGCCATACGTGCATGTTTCAGGACATAATTCTTAACGTCTTAGAATGATCTTGTTACAGTGCGTCAAGGCATAGAGAAGGAAGAACATAGCTGAAACGGTATTGCAGATCAGCTGAGTTACAGTGTAAAAGACGTGCACTTTTTACACACCTACATAAGGACGCAGTTAGCAGTGTCCACATAAAACCATTGATATTTAAGCATATTCACTAAAAGGAGAATTGCAGGTATTCAAACTAGAATTCAAACGGTTCAAATGTAAGGCCAAAGTACCCAAACTGAAAACAGAACTGATTTGGAGGATTTTTCTAATGTGACAATGTGGACCTAAATGTGGACCTAAATTTCTTATTTCACTTTGAATTCACTTTGAAACCCAGGCAATTCTCACTATAGTGAATAACCTTGATTGTATTACAACTTTTTTTTAACATTTTTTTTCTTTGTAATCTGAGTATGCAAAATTCAGGGAAATGTTCAGGAATTGTTTGTCTTTATAAGACCATGAAGCTGCTATGTGTTGTAATGAGTAACATGGAAGTGGTTATGGTCACTCTCAGGTTTATTTCACAAACCATGAATTGTTGGGATTGTATCATGGAACTGCAAATTTCAGGCAAAATCGAACAAAATTGCCAAGTTGGCCATTTTTACATTTTGGGTATTTTTCTCTAAAATGTCCAGTTCAATTTCCATTTGCCATCAAACTCCAGGTTTGTTTAAATGCCTGTCTTTTTCGCCACATAATTAGTGCTGGAGAGGGTTAACCAAGCGCTTGCAGCCACCAATAGAATCCAGGTTGGACAGAATTAATATTGAAAATACAGAAGGGATTTGAGTATTCTCGGTATTTATTACATTGATCTGCAACATTGTATGATACAAACAAAAACTATCGCTCAATCACCTGTATGACTATACGCTGGCTTGTCTTATTGTATATTTATATTTGTTTGAAATCAATAAAACTTGTCAAGTGGAAAAAAAAATATAGCAGTAATTTTGCATTCTCAATGTGACTGAGAAGGGGGCCCTAGGAAAAGGTTTGATTTTAAATGGTTTGTAATGGGTATGTTGGTTAGAGTGTCCCTTTAAACAACATTTTACCCAGAATGCTATATCATTAAACATCATTGACATACAATATTTTGTTAAATAGCCTCAAACCTCCACCTTGCAGCTTCCTGTCACAATAATATGGTTTAAATTACTGTACACATGTAATAAAACATACAGGTATATTGTTAAGGCAGCTAGACTCTGTGTTATTGTAAAATAGTGAACCTGTCTAATTCTAGTGGATAAATACAGGGTTCACAGCTATACAATACAGATACAGCTATTATTATATTAGATATTGGGAGGAGACAATTTAGTTGTTAAACTGTTATTTTAAAAAAGGATAAATATTGTAATAAGGAGTCAGTATAGCATTCCTACTTACCAGTGTTTGTTTATCTAGAAGCCAGGTAGAAGAACACAATCCCCACAATTAGGAACAGGACTCCCAGGCCAATTCCCAAACCACACAGAACGTTCTCCAGTAGATCAGATGGGACGGTGCTGTCCGCAACTAGAAATTACAATAAACATGGTGACCTGTGTGCGAGCTCCACATACAGTCTTTAATAATATTACACACAGACGCTGTGATCCCCGCATTTCCCAAAGGAGTTCAGGCAGTGTCACCTTAAATAACTGAAGCCAAGAATGTCACAATGCAAAGAAGAAAGCACTCATGTCGCCCAGGGCTGGATATACATCATTAGCGCCTGTACAACTTATGTTTTTTTAAAAGTGACCATTTAAATATGATTTAAAAAATTGCTGTTTACACACACATAGAGTGAGTGTGTGTGTGTGTGTGTGTGTGTGTGCCTGTAGTGAGTGTACATGTGTAGCAGCTTATGTGCAAATGGCTGAGAGAATGTCTATGTGTACAGGTATGTATGTCTGTGTAATAGTGTGTTTGTGTAGAGTGTGTGTGTGTAAGTGTCTGTCTTTGTAATAGTGTCTTTGTGTAGAGTGTGTGTGTGTCTGTCTGTGTAATGGTGTGTTTGTGTAGAGTGTCTGTGTGTGTGTGTAAGTTTCTGTCTGTGTAGAGAGTGTGTAAGTGTGTGTGTTTGTGACTGTAGAGAGTGTGTAAGTGTGTATTTGTGTAGAGTGTATGTGTGTGTTTGTGCAGAGCGTGTGTAAGTGTGTATTTGTGTAGAGTGTATGTGTGTGTTTGTGCAGAGAGTGTGTAAGTGTGTGTTTGTGTGTAACAGTCATGGTAGTGGCATGTATAGTACTGTGTGTGTAACAGTCTCGGTTGCAGTATATGTAGCAGTGTTTGTTTGTACATAGTCTGGTTAGCGGTGTGTGTGTCATCCATTCTATATCCCCAGTCCTGTCCCTTCTCCTGGTCTGTTTGTTACCTTCAGGAAATCACTGTGTTCAGTCTGACAGAGTGAAATAGCTATATCATATGTGGGTTTATTAATAGGTGATATATTGCATGTTTATTTAATGTCATATATTTAATAATAATAGTCCTATTTCTGTATTCTAGATAAAATCTAGAAGTCTGCATGAATGAAATGATGTTTTGCTCCCAGATAAGAGAACTTTAATGTCACAAACCCAAGGAAAAATAACACCTCCATTTGCAATCTGTGGACAACCCGAATCTGAATAAATAATGGGCTGATGGCACAAAGTAGTCAGTATTTATAAAATATTCATCTTTTGGTTAATTACTTTTCAGTACGTTTAACTCAAACTGAACAGAGCTAGGATTGTGTGTTTCCCCTTAATATACCAGTGGTGTCCTTACCCCAGTATCTAACAGTTGAAGTTGCGTTTTGTCCTCCACCATGCGCAATGCAGGTGTATGTATCGTCACTGTGAGGAGTGAAATTTAGGTATGAGAAGGTCTGGTAGTTCCGGCTGAAGGTCTGGGAGTGAGGATCTGGCACTGCAGAGTACCCAGAGTAGGTTATCCCTTCTGTCACCTCTTGATCATTCTTATACCACGTGATGGTTAACACAGGCGGATACATATTACCAACGAAGCAAATTAACGTGTTCGGCGAACCCACGGTGACCGGATGTGCAGTTAATACGGTCACTTGTGTATCAGCTGTGAAGGGAAAAGAGGAACAGTTGATGCAAGTGAGAGTTAGTGAAACTGTACTTAATTGGTAAAAGCTAAATATATATTTTATGGTTAAATACTTTGATACTTTTATTATTACCAATAACATATCATAGCGATTCACTAAACAAAATGTGACTAGATTTGCAACTGTCATATTTACTAACTGCAAATCAGGCAGAAATTCAGTTGTTTCAGGGGAGAATATGATTTAGTTGTCCAGTACCATCTAAAATCTGCCCAACCATAAACAAAGACAACTCTCTTTTTTCGAGGAACTATATGAAGGAGGTTCAGAAAGGCTCAATCATTTCTGACATATACCACCTCAACTGATTAAAATGTTAGGCCTTGAGTAATTTAACATATGTGCACCAGTGGGAGTTGGACCGAGGGGGGATTTAAGAAGGAGGAACCCGGAAGGATATAAGGGAACCTACATCAAGGATTTCAATCTGTGTCACCTAAAAGGAACAAGAGGTTAAAATTGAGTTTAAATGGTACACCATCCCCACAAAATTGTTTAGGATGGGCAAAACCAATAAACCTTGATGGAGAAATTGTGGCCATAAAGGCTCCTACATTCCTATGTGGTGGACCTGATTTACTTGGTGGTTGTGGTCTTACAGATGCTTTTATTGTTATCTGTATTCTCTTGTCACTCCTAGTAGAAGGCCTCCATGCACACTCTCAGAAACCACACAGGAACATCACACTAGCCTCCTTGGAACCATAACTATGGGTTTCAGAACACTGGCTGTGAAAAACCAATTAATGGACTGTCTGATTGCTATTGTCAGGGAATACTTGGCCCTCATTCCATATGACGTGGCTTGCAATGATGATAAGAGTAGGATGTCTGATATTTCTTTCTCTATTGCTTACTCGCAGTCCCTGGTTTTCTTCCCTTTTAAAATTTTTTATCTATCTGTCTCCAGACGATATGATACTTTTGTACCTCTGCTGTATATATTTTGATCTGACACTAAAAAAAAAAAATTAAGAATATAGTGTCTAATATCTTAATTCAACAGATAATGTAGGATTTGCAAATTTATCAAAACACCAAATTTCAATCTGAGTCACGAACACCAAAAAATCCAGTTGAAGTACAATTTGCATAATAAATTAACTTTAAAATTAGCCCGCATGCTCCTCTAGTGGGTGGACCCACCTAGATTACTGGTACGCCCAGTTTGGTGCATCACCAGGGATTCAACTTGTGTCATTGGTGACGGTCCCTAAGAAAACCTCCCCATCCTGATTTTAGCCAAACCAAAGTTTGGAGGTATGTTTAATTATTTTGGTAAATTGTGGAGACCTGTCTCTGGTAACGTTTTATTCACACTCACACCCCAATAGTTTTAAATGAAATGAATTAGAGACGGAACAGATAAAGCCCCCAACCCTTCAGCAGTTTTGGGGCCTTGTAAAGGTATAACGGGGTATGCCAAGGGTGGGAGTTTAATGATAATTATTGGGGCACACACTTGGGCAGAGAGTGGGGGCTATGCCATGATAAATGGGGGTGAATGCTATTCCCCTTCAGTCATGGTGAGGCCGTATTAAGAAGATAAATGGTGGTGGACATGCCAGCAATACCATGGGCAGCAGAAGGAGGCACATATAGTGGTTCTTTACCAAATTATATAAGTTCCATATGACCCAAAGTCATCAAAAATAACTATTTTAAAAACGTTCAGTGCCAACCTGCAAGCAGTTGTAATAATTGCCATGTTTATTGCAACTTGAAAGCCAGCATTTTACCTCTGCAATATTTTCCCACCCAGTTTTAGTATTTTTCCATTTTCACAAGTAATATATTTGTTGGATTATTTTACATTAAAATATACAATATTAAATTAATAAAAAAATAATGCAATTGGAATTCCTAAAAATATATGTTTATAAATATATATATATATATATATATATATAAAGAAAAAGCACTAAAAAGTGGAAAAACACTAAAAAATGCAAAAGACCTAGGAGCTAATTAGTATATGACTCAAAAATCCGGATATGAAATGCTGGAAAAGAATCTGTATAAAATACTTCAAGGATGTAACAATAAAAATGTGACTAAAAAAGGGGACTCAAAAATGGGTACTATGCCTTTAAGAAAAATATATACAAGGTAGGACTCTAAAATGTAACTGATAGATTTTAAAACTTAATCATATGTGATATATAAAAACAGAGGATGAATCAGATAAGAGAAAATAAATGATTAAAATAAAATAAAAAATAAAAAATAAAAATAAATGCTCCTAACAGTGCAAGGTGCAGTAAAATACTGTCCCTGAAAAGATACAGGATAACAGATAGTTAATACTTAAATAATATGCTTTGTATAGACAAAGTTGCAAAACAAGCACTACAGTATGAGGAACTGTGTGCTAAAATAAATAATGTAGCGTGGATACAATGTAGAAAGAGAGAAACTGGATAGAAATGCAAAGTCCAGTTTATTAAAAATAAATATAGATTAAAATATGAATTAATCAAAAATGATGGTCAATTCATGTGCAAATGTATGTTACCAGTCCAATGAAGTCCACAAATATTCACAGACCCTCGGAATCAGCCAGGATGGATGTGGATTGACTTGGCAGCTGTTGCTCTGGTGCTCTGTGGTCTGTCTGCCGGTTGAGGACGGCGTGCAGATCGATGTGTGCGTCCCAACACGGAACTCACTCCGGGGGGTGTGCACAGTGAATAGTCTAAGTCCACAGGTTCACCAAGGGTCCTGAGCAAGTGGGTGCTTCTAATGCTGGTTACTAGCACAGTTCAAAGAGATGCTTCGGTCTAACGCGTTTCGTGAGGAAATAGCCTCACTTCTTCAGAGACATATGTCTCTGAAGAAGTGAGGCTATTTCCTCAGGTATCTAATTAGCTCCTAGGTCTTTTGCATTTTTTTGTGTTTTTCCACTTTTTAGTGCTTTTTCTTTATTCTATATAGGTTTTAGTGGAACCCTATCTTCCTAGTTAGTATCTATTTAGTTTTAGTCCTCCTCCCTCTTTGCTGTGTATCACATTAGGTGTACCAGATTTAACTATATATATATATATATATGTTTATTTAATGTCTGACCTTTGGCCTCTGGTGTGATGTTCTCCAGTACTTCAGTCAACACCTCCAGAAATGCTTGACATAGCTCTAGTTCATAGGATATATTTGTAGGATTTGGAAAGCTCTGGCCAGCCCACTTCTCGAACTCTCCTTTTTGAGGGATTGCTGAGTGATCAGAAAAATTATACGTAAACATCTGATCGTCATGAAACATTTTCAGCAAGCCAAAACGTGGGGCTTGAGGCTGGCAAAACAGGACGTCTGATAAAAGATGGTCAACTGGAGGAAAAGAAAAAAATTTAGAGAAATTAGTAGTGTGGTGGGAGAGAGGGAAAGATGTAGAAATATGACACAAAACTAACCTACACAGTGGACAAGGAAAAAAATTTATGAAATTGCTTTACAATACACACACACACACACACACACACTCTCTCTCTCTCTCTCTTTCTCTCACTCTTTGTATGAAAAGTGCCAAATCAGCCATTTATTCACTTCTAGTTAGAGATAAAAACTAAAAATATGACTGGCATTTTGATTGACCATTTTGGAACTGAAGAAACAATTCTTCTGGTAAACATATTGCACCGGCCTCAGTACTGCATTTCTTTTCTACTGATAATGGTTTCTGAGCGTCCAATGGTATTGTGTGTTTGTTTTCAAAACAATAAATTCCAAAAAGATCTTAAATGGACACTATAGTCACCTGAATAACTACAGCTTAATGTAGTTGTTCAGGTATGATCTATAGCTCCCTGCAGGCAATCTAATGTATGAATGCCGCCCTATGAAGAAAGTGCGCATGTGCGCCGGGCTGAAGGGGGAGGAAGGGGGTTAAACACTCACCTTTCTCCAGCGCCAGGCTCCCTTGGTGATGGGGACTCTCCTCCTCCTTCGGTTGTCATCGGCTGAATGCGCATGCGTGGCAAGAGCCATGCACGCATTCAGCTAGTCTCATAGGAAAGCATTCTCAATGCTTTCCTATGGAGCCTGGCGTCTTCTCACTGTGAAAATCACAGTGAGAAGCGCGGAAGCGCCTCTAGCAGCTGTCAATGAGACAGCCACTAGAGGCTGGATTAACCCAAAAGTTAACATAGCAGTTTCTTTGAAACTGCTATGTTTACAGCAGGCAGGGTTAATCCCAGATGGACCTGGTACCCAGACCACTTCATTGAGCTGAAGTGGTCTGGGTGCCTATAGTGGTCCTTTAATGCATTATACCCCTGCAGTCTCCCATTTAGGAGTTAAATCATTTTTTTTATACAGCCCTAGAAACATCTTCCTGCATTTGACTTGCACAGTCTCCCTAAACACTTCCTGCAAAGAGAGATCTGATGTTTAAACTTATTTTATTGCACAACTTGTTTAATTTAAAAATTGTTTTCTCCTACTAATAGCCTTTAAGACCCTGCAGGAGCCTCCTGTGTGTGAATAAGGTTTATGAAATAAAAATGTCTAAAGCTAGTTAACATCTGATTATTCACACAGGCTGTGTGAGTCACAGCAAGGGGAGGTGTGGCTATTGATGCATAAACAGAAACAAAAGTGATTGGCAGATAATTGAGCAGTGAGACTGCAGCGGCATGATCTGTACTTTAAAACTGCTTCATTAATGGAACACTATAGCAATCGGAATACAAAGATTTCCCAACACTATAGAGTCCCTTTGTCCATGGCTGAATGTTTGCCCTGCCCACTCCATGGTGTTGAAAGGGTTAAAAAAACAAAAACTAAAAATTACCACTTTAAAAGCTTACCTAAGTCCATCTCCTACACTTCTGTCATTGGCGATGGGGGAACCTAATGCACATGCAAGGAATTAGGCCTTCCCCATAGTAAAGCAATGAATCCATGCATTCTTAAGGGGAATTTGAAGATGCTGGACTAAATCATGCAAAGTGTGAGGACACCCAGCATAGTTTCACAGAGGTATACTTGTGCCTGTGGTGGCTGTGTGGAGTACAGCTACAAGACGTAGTCTAAACTATGCAATGTAAAAATCTCAGCTTCTCTTAAACCGTAAGGTTTTCCATTGCAGAGTTAAGGGACAGGGACACCGCACCCAGAACACTTCAATGAGATGAAGTGTTCTGGGTGCCTATAGTGTCCCTTTAAGTTAAAGTGGTTTAATACCTATAACATCCCTTTAAGTTTCATAAGTTTTTGGGAATCCATTAGTTTATTGAAAAGTTTTGTTAATGCCTTTTCAAGCCCTTTTTGTTTTTGAATTTGATATGGGAACATTTGCTTCATTGGTGTGTTGGTAAATTGTATCTACAGTAAATATGATATCACAGTTAGACTGTTTCAAGCACCGTATTGGGCCAAACGGATAATGTTAAAGGGTCACTCCAGATTCCTAAACAACTTTAGCTTGCTAAAAACCTTTATGTGTGAAAGAGTGTGTACTCTTTTTTTATTTTGCAAAAAGTGCAGATTTCAATAGAAATTGACATGGTTATAAATTATCCTGGATATGCCTTTTTGGCTTTCAAACAGACAACAGGTTCTTATACTTCCTGATTTTGTTAGCTCGATCCAGCTGACTTCAAAAGGCAGCAATTGCCCAGAGCAACTGACTTACAAAAACCTCTCATTGAGCTATATTGAGAAGTCTGTGATTGGACAGCCACAGAAGGTCTTGGCGGGGTTAGAAGGGAAGAGCTTGCAAAGGCAGCAGACAAGCAGATTTTAGAAATGAAAAAATACATAATTAAATGCATGCAAGTTTTTATTTGGGGTATATCTTCTAAACAGTGTTTTTAAAATCTATTTTGTATTTGGGCAGTGGAGTGTCCCTTTACATATGTTGTCAGAAAACACTGGAAAGGTGGCATTGTAATTGTGTCATCATTTTAATGGCTCATCAGCAGCCATTAAAATATAGATAACAAATCTGCATTTGTTGCACTATTTCTTAAAGGGACTATAGTTAATGTAGTTGTTCTGGTAAGTATAATAATTCCTTTCAGGCATTTTCATGCAAACACTGTGAAAATGTAGTGTTTACATTGCCCCCAGGGACACCTCCAATGGCCACTCTTCAGAATACCACCAAAGGTGCTTCCTGGGGTAGAGCTGCACAGTGTGCAGCACTGCTGTTTAGCGTATCTACGCTCTGCATAGAGACGCTGAATTTTTCTCATAGAGGTGCATTAAATCAATGCATCTCTATGAGAAAAATTGAGCGCCCTCTATCTCACCTCCTTGCCGATTTCAGCTAATTTACGATTTCCATATGGGAAAGCATTGGATTGGCTAAAAAAAATGATTGATAAAATGATGGAACCATTCATTAAAGGAAAAATGATGAGCAATTCACATGTCTAATAGATAAATATTGAATGATAGATAGTGATTTAAGCCAAATTAGTTTTTTTATTTTGTAGCTCAATTTATACATTAAGCCTATCTTGTGTGAATGTGAAGTCTATTCAAGAAAATACAAGCAAGGTACTAATTCAATGTAAAAATAAAATATCTGATGACAGCTTTTCTTTAATCTGAATATTGTTTTGTTATTGTTTTGTACTTAAGATTGTTAACACAATGTAGAGTGCAGTGTTATTAAATGAACTGTCATTCATTGCTGCTTGGGTGACAAAGTGAATGCATTAAATGTCTCGGCAACTGATGTGTTTTTATCACTTAAATCAACCTATATAAAGCACACTCATTACAGTAATATTGCATATACTGCCATATAGAACTTGGCTCAATTTGGGGAAAAATATCAAAATATTGATTGAAAATATACCATTCTATTTACAAATATTAACATACATTAAAAAAAAACCCTTACTCTAATATTGGTTAACACCTGGCACGGAATTATAATATTTACTTTTTGTTAAAAAATTTTTAATATTTACAACCCTATAAACACTCATCTGTTAAAATTAAACATTCATAATCTAGGTAATCAAAAACCCAATAATTCAGGTGAAAATTCAGACTGATCTAAGGATTTAGTAATATATACATTTCCAATATTTTAATTATAATACACATTATATTTACCATCCTGAGCCTGCACAACCATCAGGGGAAGAAGCCAGATTGCAGAGAAGCACCACATGTTGAGTATTAGAGTTGCTCAGATCTGGTAAAGCTATGATATTGAGATCTATGTCCAGTCCTCCTAGTGTACACTGCGGAAGCCCTAGATCTTTGTGCAGTCTTAGTCCATGGATCTCTGTAGTGTCCTAGTATTTATCAGTCATTATTCTTCCTCCTGTTGCACAATCAGAGTAAGGGCATAATTATAAGACTTTTATTTAATGTATGCTTTGCTTGTAGACAAACACCTGCTACTCTATTAAATACAAAGTAATAAACTAGGAAATATATAGAAGTATATATATATATATATATATATATATATATATATATATATATATCAGCAATAAAAAACTAAGTAATAATATTGTAAAGAGTAATAAGGTGGCACTATATCAATACTACTACTACTAATAATAATTAATAACACACCAGGAAATATACACCAACATATATATATATATATATATATATATATATATATATATACCAGTAATAAATACAAGGTAACACACAACTAAATATACCTTTTTTTGTTTGTTTGTTTTTACTTAAATTATTATTGCTTCTACTAACCCAGAATTAGATTACCACTACCCACACTAAAGGTATCCGGAAGGCTAATAGGCTGTACTGACCTTGCCAGAACCTATAGAATCTGCCTTGTGGCTCAGATATTACACTATATGTACTATTCTCTGATTCCCCTCATTGTCCAGAACCTATAGAATCTGCCTTGTGGCTCAGATATTGCACTATTTGTACTACTCTCTGAGCCCCCTCATTGTCCAGAACCTATAGAATCTGCCTTGTGGCTCAGATATTACACTATTTGTAAAATTCTCTGAGCCCCCTCATTGCCCAGAACCTATAGAATCTACCTTGTGGCTAAGATATTACACTGTTTGTACTACTCCCCGAGCCCCCACATTGCCCAGAACCTATAGAATCTGCCATGTGGCTCAGATATTGCACTGTGTGTACTACTCTCTGAGCCCCCTCATTGTCCAGAACCTATAGAATCTGCCTTGTGGCTCAGATATTACACTATTTGTACTACTCTCTGAGCCCCCACATTGCCCAGAACCTATAGAATCTGCCTTGTGGCTCAGATATTGCACTATTTGTACTACTCTCTGAGCCCCCACATTGCCCAGAACCTATAGAATCTGCCTTGTGGCTCAGATATTGCACTATTTGTACTACTCTCTGAGCCCCCTCATTGTCCAGAACCTATAGAATCTGCCTTGTGGCTCAGATATTACACTATTTGTAAAATTCTCTGAGCCCCCTCATTGCCCAGAACCTATAGAATCTACCTTGTGGCTAAGATATTACACTGTTTGTACTACTCCCCGAGCCCCCACATTGCCCAGAACCTATAGAATCTGCCATGTGGCTCAGATATTGCACTGTGTGTACTACTCTCTGAGCCCCCTCATTGTCCAGAACCTATAGAATCTGCCTTGTGGCTCAGATATTACACTATTTGTACTACTCTCTGAGCCCCCTCATTGTCCAGAACCTATAGAATCTGCCTTGTGGCTCAGATATTACACTATTTGTAAAATTCTCTGATCCCCCTCATTGCCCAGAACCTATAGAATCTGCCTTGTGGCTCAGATATTACACTATTTGTACTACTCTCTGAGCTCCCTCATTGCCCAGAACCTATAGAATCTGCCTTGTGGCTCAGATATTACACTATTTGTACTACTCCCCGAGCCCCCACATTGCCCAGAACCTATAGAATCTGCCTTGTGGCTCAGATATTACACTATTTGTACTACTCTCTGAGCCCCCTCATTGCCCAGAACCTATAGAATCTGCCTTGTGGCTCAGATATTACACTATTTGTACTACTCTCTGAGCCCCCTCATTGCCCAGAACCTATAGAATCTGCCTTGTGGCTCAGATATTACACTATTTGTAAAATTCTCTGATCCCCCTCATTGCCCAGAACCTATAGAATCTGCCTTGTGGCTCAGATATTGGACTGTTTGTACTACTCTCTGAGCCCCCTAATTGCCCAGAACCTATAGAATCTGCCTTGTGGCTCAGATATTGCACTGTGTGTACTACTCTCTGAGCCCCCTCATTGCCCAGAACCTATAGAATCTGCCTTGTGGCTCAGATATACTGTTTGTACAATTCTCTGAGCCCCCTCATTGCCCAGAACCTATAGAATCTGCCTTGTGGCTCAGATATTACACTATTTGTACTACTCTCTGAGCCCCCACATTGCCCAGAACCTACAGAATCTACCTTGTGGCTCAGACATTGCACTATTTGTACTACTCTCTGAGCCCCCTTATTGCCCTGACACTGTCTAATGGTAACTGGGCATATAATCAGCGGTTACATCGTTGCATCCATGGAGCTATTCCCCAGGAGCACAGCTTGAGCTTACCTGTTATCCAATGCAATTCATTGGTGTATACTGTCAGCACTCATATTCCAGGATGTATTCACTCCAGGTGAAACTGTGTCACAAGCACAAATGTACAGCTTTCATTTTCATTTAGTTATCATACAGGGCCATATGTGAGTGTATGCTAGCCAGCCCCAGTACATATAATCCTTCAGATTCAAGTTCCAGCTCTGAGGTTGGCAAATACCAAAAGAGAATACTTTTAATACTTTTCTTCCTTTTCAGAGTAACAGCAGCTCCAAAATGTCATGAAACCCAGAGAGTACAGGCTGAGCCATAACCTCTCCTCCAATAAGAAGATTTCTTGCGGATGCCATCACTGTTGCCAGGCAGAACCATTTCTGTTCTAATATATTTTTATTTCTTCCTCGATTATTGGCTGTTACCCTGTTTAGCTGGAAATGTGGATTTAAACAGCCAGCCAAGAGATTATTCTGTTAGGACATGCTCTTTATGTTTGTATTCAACAACCTGCCAGGAAAACTAGTATTAGCAGCTATAAATATTATTGAGATTAAGGTCCTGGGGGTAAGTGTTATTTAAATATCTGGCAAGATTTGATAAGAATGATGTGTAACAGTAATATTGTTACAAAAAGTATCAGAATATGCTAAAACTGCAACATTACAAATAAACTATAAAAGGGGCTCTAAAATCAGTGTTGCACTGAGCTTATTTGTTGCACACAATGATAACAATAAATGTTTTGTTTTGTTTTCTACTTAAACCCTTTCTCCCTAAGGGGATCCAGCACTTAATCACAAAACGCATATATTGTAACAGGATTGCAAACTGATTAGAATATATTATCACTCAGTGGTATTCATTTTTACAAAGACAGAATGACCCTGTTTGTAATAAAGCAACATATTTATTACTATTATTATCGCCATTTATATAGCGCCAACAGATTCCGTAGCGCTTTACAATATTATTAGAGGGGGATTTAACTATAAATTGGACAATTACAAGAAAACTTACAGGAATATCTACCAAGTTTTCTTTCTTATAAACCAGAATGGGAGTGATAATTGTCGTGACAATGGGAGTGTGAGTGAGTAGACTTGTGCATGGCAGAAAGATTTGGTTTGCTGAAAAAATGTTCTGTTTGGTCCAACCAAATTTTTAAAACATTTGGTTACTTTTGAGCATTTGGTTGCAAATTTTGCGTGTTTGATCCAAATGAGCCCTGGTTTGTTTGTTATTGATTGATTTATTTGTTTGTTTGATTTAATGTCTGTCCCCTAACTACCCGTCATCTTTTGTGGAGGTAGCTAAGGACATACAGTTGCAAGAAAAAGTATGTGAACCCTTTGGAATGATATGGATTTCTGCACAAATTGGTCATAAAATGTGATCTGATCATCATCTAAGTCACAACAATAGACAATCACAGTCTGCTTAAACTAATAACACACAAAGAATGAAATGTTGCCATGTTTTTATTGAACACACCATGTAAACATTTACAGTGCAGGTGGAAAAAGTATGTGAACCCTTGGATTTAATAACTGGTTGAACCTCCTTTGGCAGCAATAACTTCAACCAAATGTTTCCTGTAGTTGCAGATCAGACGTGCACAATGGTCAGGAGTAATTCTTGACCATTCCTCTTTACAGAACTGTTTCAGTTCAGCAATATTCTTGGGATGTCTGGTGTGAATTGCTTTCTTGAGGTCATGCTACAGCATCTCAATCGGGTTGAGGTCAGGACTCTGACTGGGCCACTTCAGAAGGCGTATTTTCTTCTGTTTAAGCCATTCTGTTGTTAATTTACTTCTATGCTTTGGGTCATTGTCCTGTTGCAACACCCATCTTCTGTTGAGCTTCAGCTGGTAGACAGATGGCCTTAAGTTCTCCTGCAAAATGTCTTGATAAACTTGGGAATTCATTTTTCCTTCGATGATAGCAATCCGTCCAGGCCCTGACGCAGCAAAACAGCCCCAAACCATTATGCCCCCGCCACCATACTTCACAGTTGGGATGAGGTTTTGATGTTGGTGTGCTTTGCCTTTTTTTTTACCACACATAGTGTTGTGTGTTTCTTCCAAACAACTCAACTTTGGTTTCATCTGTCCACAGAATATTTTGCCAGTACTGCTGTGGAACATCCAGGTGCTCTTGTGCAAACTGTAAATGAGCAGCAATATTTTGTTTGGACAGCAGTGGCTTCTGCTGAATGAAATCCATTCTTGTTTAGTGTTTTACGTATTGTAGATTCGCTAACAAATGTTAGCATTTGCCAGTGACTTTTGTAAGTCTTTAGCTGCACTCTAGGATTCTTCTTCACCTCATTGAGCAGTCTGCGCTGTGCTCTTGCAGTCATCTTTACAGGACGGCCACTCCTAGGGAGAGTAGCAGCAGTGCTGAACTTTCTCCATTTATAGACAATTTGTCTTACCTTGGACTGATGAACAGCAAGGCTTTTGGATATACTTTTAAAGCCCTTTCCAGCTTTATGCAAGTCAACAATTCTTAATCGTAGGTCTTCTGAGAGCTCTTTTGTGTGAGGCATCATTCACATCAGGCAATGCTTCTTGTGAAAAGCAAATCCAGAACTGGTGTGTGTTTTTTATAGGGCAGGGCAGCTGTAACCAACACCTTCAATCTCATCTCATTGATTGGACTCCAGTTGGCTGACATCTCACTCTCAATTAGCTCTTGGAGATGTCATTAGTCTAGGGGTTCACATACTTTTTCCACCTGCACTGTGAATGTTTACATGGTGTGCCCAATAAAAACATGGCAACATTTCATTCTTTGTGTGTTATTAGTTTAAGCAGACTGTGATTGTCTATTGTTGTGACTTAGATGATGATCAGATCACATTTTATGACCAATTTGTGCAGAAATCCATATCATTCCAAAGGGTTCACATACTTTTTCTTGCAACTGTATCTATGAAAATCAGCTTGTTCATTGTCTGTTTCGCTTGTTTTGTGAAGGAAAAAATTCAGATAATTCACTATTAGTCTGAAATCGCATGCACAAGTCTACCAGTGACATTTGGCATCTTCCTAACATGAAGGCTGTGTTAGATTGTGGAGAAACAACAACTTGCCAACCAGTCAACCAAGCACACATGCATGCGCAGAGTGACAGATGCTGACGGTATTCTTATGTAGCCTGCAGTGCACTTAAAGGTTCACTATAGTGTCAGGAAAACAAAGCGGAAAACAAACTGCTTCTTAGAAACAAAAAAAAAAAGAAAATATAGGTATGGTAAGACAGAGGTCCAAAATCAGGACTAACTTGGGAGGTGTGAATCTATAAGCCTGAAAGCTAAACAACAAGCGTTACAGCGGGTGCATTTACTCAAACAAACCGATTCATTTCACCAGTATACGTAATTCGCCCATCCTCTACTAATTCTTATCCACTTCAGTACGTACCTTTCAGGGGAACTTAAATGTAAAGAGACGGTTATTAAGATTCAAAGTTAGCTGATGACCTTACAGACATATTGATGAATATTAACACCTTAAGGACACAGCTTCAGAAATAAAAGGGAATCAATATTTCCACCATGCGTTCTTAAGGGGTTAAAATTATTTTTTTAGGTGGCTATTTGTAATTTGTCTATAAAAATACAGGGTAAGAAAGTCTTCCTAATTTGTCTGAATGTTACTTTCCTTTTGTGTTGGTGTGGAGATCCCCGTTTCAGAGCTTCCTGTAGCCACTTTTGGTTCCTCTTTCACTAGTACCTTGTAATTGGTGTATTAATAGCAGCTGTGACTTCCCTTTTTATGGTCTTACATGGCCCTCTAGTGTTTAACTGAACTGCTGGATGTGTCCATAATAAGTTTATGTAAAAGTGAGAAAATTTGCATTCAGTTAAAGATCTGCAGGTAAGAAACAGGTGAAATGCTCACAACGTTTAGCTGAAAAAAATCTGATATAATTTGGTTTCATTCAGTAACTGCTGTTTGGATGTAATTAGCTGTATTTACAAATAGCCAAAATGAAGGAAACTCATTAATCATATTGGACTAAATGATTATAAGAGTGAATGTTCTTCCAAATAGGAAATGAATAACTCAGATATGTACGGCGTTTAATCCACACACTAGCTCATGAATTAATAGAATAAAAAGGCATACCGCATGCAGGAGCTGCAAGCAGACAAAGTTTTCAAAAGTATTTTTAGCATTTGAATAGTGAGAAGTTATTCTGCAATGCACTGTGGTTGCTATGCTTGGAGAGCAGGAGAACCGTCTGTAGGAGGTCTCTCCTGCTCTCCCTGTCAGTCAATTCTTCACAAATCTTTGCAGAGAAACTTAGTGCACATTCACTTTGGAATTTATATAGTTGAAAAAATAAACGCAGCTTCAAGATAAATTAGTTCAGCTGATAACTAAAAACATATTAGTATTTTTGTGTTTTCCCTAACCAAGTAGAAGGGCTATCCTGGGTGAGTAAATATGGAAATTCCCTGACTTCTTAAGTAATTGATGTAACATGTCTAAAACCATTGTTTTCTAAGAATAAATAGTGAGCTCTTTGTTTACTTCTTTCTTTTATTCATAAAGTAGGAAACTACACATTACAACTTCTTCATTGGGGACTGTAGGGTATAATACTCTGTATTTCTTTTTGTTTATTTTTTATTTATATTTATCAGGTAACAACGACAATGCTTTCTGTGGAACCAGTATACAACCATGACATTTTCAATATCCAAGTATATTGAATGCATTGCCTTATATCTCCCACTCCAGCATCCTGTGGAGCGGAACACCTATTGGAGGGGCAAAAAGGGGCAGAGCAGTGAGGCAATTTGTGTCACTAACTCTGCCTATAAAGGCAAATAGTGGGAGGGCCAGTCCGTAGAATTGACAAAATAGAGATGGTTGGGAGGCCTGTTGTATTTCTAGATAGAGTGTTGGTGGCTAATATATGAGATCATCAGTATTGGAAATTAGAATTTTCAATAACAAAGCATCGAATTGAGATTGTCAATTCTGATGTCAACAAAGGAGGTGGAGCAGGGGCAAAGCCAGCGCCGGCAGACCTGCGCGCCATTGTAATAAAGGTGTTTTACAGCTTTTTAAGAAGGGCCAGGTGTGTTCCTTTAATACAATGTCTGTTCTGTGTACAGAATGTTCTTAAATGGACACTACAGTCACCAAAACAACTAGCTCAATTAAGTGGTTTTGGTCTATAGATCATGGCTATGAAGTTTCACTACTCAATTCACTGCCGTTTAAGAGTTAAATCACTTTTCTTTCTGTACATGCAGCCCTGGCCACACCTCCTCTTGGCTGCAACTCACACAGCATGCATGAAAAAAATGATTCACTTTCAGTCACATGTAACTTACTTTAAACGTTTTTATGTCCTGCACTCTAAATTTAAAACTTTAATCACACACAGTAGGCTCCTGCAGGGTCCTGCAAGCTATTAACAGTGCAAGAGATAAGAAATTGTAAATTATACAGAATGTGCAATAAAGAAAGTATAAACATTAGATGACTCTTTACAGGAAGTGTTTAGGAAGGCTAAAAAAATGTGCCTCCTGGGTTTTCTAAACAGAGGTTTGCAACAATGTGTTAAGTATCTTGCCTTGGACCCCAGGAAGAATATTTATTGTTAAATCATCCCCTTTGATAATATTGTAAAGCGCTAGGGAAAATGCTGGCGCTATATAAATACCAGTAATAATATTGTTTTGTTTGAACATCTATCTCTTAGCTTTTGTTATGTACTTTCTATGAATCTGTATCTCCTGTGCATTATTAAATAACGAAGCTGTCAGCAGGGGAGACCTTTTCATGTGCCCATCAGTGGGTTGTGGTATTTCTAGTAAAGCTAGTTTGCAGTGCTGGCATTGTTGTGGCTGTAGACGTCTATGATGCACCATTCTGTGAGTTGTAGCATAAGAGAGCTATCAACTTTTGGCCTTGGGAGCAAGTACAAAAAATGGCCTTTTTGTGCAGGAAACTCACAGATCTCAGTGTGGACAGTCCCAGTCACTAGAGGGACATTCAATATGTGAGTTACAGCTTTTGGAGTTGCGTGTTGTGACACCATGTTTACTGTCATCCTCTGTCAGTATGACCAGTGCAGCATGCCTTAGAGACAGAGGTTCTGTTTCCTGCAACTCATTGCCACCAATGACAGTCAGAGTGTTTACTGAATGTGTACTGTCTCATTTCAGACTACAGTTATTTGTAAATCTCACGCTGTGACAGCTTGGTCAACCTTAGATACTGCAGTCCACTGTAAAATATATAATTTCTAAATGGTTAGCATCAGTGGCACAGTATGGGGAAATCACCATCACACAATGCATATAGAGATTTATTTAAATTAATTACTATATACATTAACAAAGACACTGTCGCAGTGTGATACATGGAGCTGATCAAACTGATTTCTCCATTTTACAAACAGTGAGTGCAATACTAGCATACAATACAATAATAAAAACTCATGGTGATGGTGCTCTGTGGCGCCACTTGCAGCTATAAACATGCTAAGCAGCCCTCTTGGTTTCACGCAAGATCTACAGCTAAGGTTTGCCTAAAGCCTTGTTACAATCAAAGCTGTTTGTTGGCATTGTTTTTGTGCGGTCTGAGAGGTAATAAACTGTTTTTTTGTTTTGAATGAATGCAAAAGTTAAAATCCCATATCAACCAGGTTTAGCTGAGCATGAAGTGTCTCCCTGTGGTGTTGAAATGTTCAATGATTTCCTATTTGTATTATTTTAAGTCTTCATATTACAAGGTAGCATTTTTCACATTCTAACCATCAATATGTGGAAATGATATGAGTACCGGCAAACATGCTGGATCTGACAGCTTTAAAGGGACACTATAAAGCTCCACTCCTATAAAGCTCCACTCCTCAGATGGCCACTGGAGGGGCTTCCTTGCTCAATGCTGCACAGTAAGCAGCCCTGACGTTCAGTGTCCCCACGTTTTGCATGGAGATGCTGAATTTTCCTCATAGAAATGCATTGATTCATTGCATCTCTATGAGGAGGTCCCAATTGGCCAAAACAGCATTTGGCCTCGCCCCTGTGCCGGGTTTAGCCAATCCAATGCTTTTCCTATGGGAAAGCATTGGATTGGCTAAAAATCGTCCATTTTGATGATGTAACAAAGTGGGCGGAGCCAGCGCCGACAGACCTGCGCGGCGCTGAAAATAAGGTGAGTTTTAAACTTTTATAGGGGAGCTAAGGGAAGGCAAGCCACCTAAATGGTGAGTTTAGCACTATAGGGTCAAGAATACATGGTTGTGTTCCTTACCCTATAGTGATCCTTTAATTGCAGTACATATTTAAAAAAAACATTCCTTCAGCCTTTTTTTTTTATAAGCACAATAAAATAAACAAATATTTGTGCATATAAATGTTATATATACACTGAAATAGTTGTGGTCTATACTTTCGTGCTATGAATGTAGCTTTCTTTGTATAGTCCTTTTTCCCTAGCCAGCTAAATTATATTTCCAAAAGATTGAATACAGATGTCTCAGCCTCACCCACTGCTCACAGTTCTATAAAACCACACATAGTCGTGAAATCGTCTTAGACAAATGTTGGCTGTACAGAGGGTTGTACTGAGAGGCTCAGTGACTTTAAAGGTGGCATATTTGCCACTAGTCGGTTTATGAAATATCTGCTCTAATAGATCTTCCACGGTAAACGGTAACTGCTATTATTGTGACATGGAAGAATCTTGGAGCAACAACAGACCAGCCATGAAGTGGTAGACCACACATAGAGCAGGGGCGACTAGTGCTAAAGCACGTTGCTTGTAAAAATCTTTTGTTTGAGTTCCAGATTGCCTTAGGAAGCAACATCATTAGACTAACAGTGCCTCAGAATCTTGAAGAAATGTTTTCCATGGCTAGTCAGCTGTGCACTAACCTCACATTAACATGTGTAATACCAGGCATCGCTGGAGTTTTATGAAGCCTGGGACAGAGGAAACGTTCACTGACGTAATGAATGGTGATTCACTATAAATATGGCAGACTGATAGAAGAATCTGGGTGTGGTAGTTACCAGGGGAGCCTACCTAATGGGATGTTCAGGGTTTGGGCTAGTCCCCTTAGTTCTAGTGAAAGATCATCTTTATCTTAAAGGATAAACATTAATTTTAGACAATTGGGTGCTTCAAACATTGTGGAAACAATTTTGGGAGGTTCGATTTCTGTTCTAGCATAACTGTGCCCCTGTTCACAAAGCAAAGTCCATGAAGACATGGTTTGACAAGTCTATAGTGGAGGAATTTGAGTGATCTGCACAGTGTTGGGCCCCCACGGCAGGAGAATGGGCTGATCTGTGA